TTTCTATCAAGTGCTTGTATTTAATTCTCTGCAATCCCTTTCATGCTGTAGTATAAATAATTTACGCATGACTATCATATTAGTAAATCAGTTGGGGAATGTTAGAGCTAATTCTTTTTCATCTGGTAAATATCACCCTAACTTCTTCTGTACTAGACATTAGGACCTCATTAGTTTTCAATTTCCTCTAAATAGTTCTGGATGGAAGACAAAAGCGTCCTCTCTTGCTCTTTGCAGCCAAGTTATAATAGAGTGAGTGTGAGGTACGTAGATAAGCGTTTATTTCACTTTTCCTCTACAGGCTTATTGCCCATTTTCAGACCCCTTTCCAGCCCTTTTTATTAGCTTCAAACACTGAGAATGGTTATATAATCATGAAGACAATTATTGGGAATCCATGTGTCCATGTTGGGGTTTTCCTGAGTCCAGATGAGCTGTTCTTTATTGGGTATGTGCTGACCATTACAGACAGAAAGAGCCCCCTTTCCCAGCTGCTCTCCCTAATGTACAGAAGCCTTCTTTCTCAGTTCATTAAGTTTAACCTCAGGCTATTGCTGCTTCGCCAGATACCTCCTCTTTGTTGTTGCTATTATTTTGGCATGTCCAAAGTTGGATCTTGCATTAGCAACATTGATCCAGGAAGTTTTCATTTTTTAAAAGTCTTTTTGTGAGAGAGGGGTTTAGGTTGAATAGCTTTCTTTCTCCAACGACAGATAGCTAACATTTTTTTCTTTTATTTATATGGATGAGCCTCAGTTATGATTGCTTTTAAAGCCAGCTTTACAAGTGCATGAGTTGGAGGAAATAATTTAAATTTCATCCTCTGTCAAAACTCTTGAGCCAATTTCCAATCAATGGTTGATCTATTTAGAATAAATAAATTGGGCTCTGGGTGTAGTTTGGGCATAGATAATGTCAAAATTGATTGCCTAGCATGTGCAAGGTCATTTGTTGCATCCCCAGCAGCACACAATTAAGTTAGTTGTATACAAAAGCATATAAATAGATATATGATCGATTAAAAACTAAATGGCTTCATGGTCATTAACAAAGCATAATTGATAAATTTTTAATGTGTCTGTGATTTTCCACTCACTGTTGACCTTTCTGATGGAGACAAAAGTTAAACGAATGTATGTACAAAATTTTGTGTTATTCATTTACCAGAATCTAGCATTTTGTTATGTCTGCCTATTGCTGAGTTTTTAGAATTCTGTAGCTATAAACTTGTTCCAGTAAATATCACTCCAGCATTAACACTGTGTGGATGCTTTACAATAGCCATTCATTTACCTGTCATCTCCTTCACACATGTGCACACACACACACACATACATAATACAGAAACACAAATATATTGTGTTATCCTGCTAACATATTTTCTTCTCTCTCTCTCATATATATATATATATATATATATATATATATATACATACACACACACACATACACATACAAACATATTTCTATGTATTAGAATAAGTTCTGAGAACTGAAATTATTAGGTCAAAATTATTAATTTCAATTAACATAGTGTTGACATTGCTTCTTCTTGACTTATATTTAATTGCTAATTAAAGTGAAACTTTAAAAGACTTTTTTATCTTTGTAAGATAATATACTGTGGAAATTTATTTTCTAATCTATTGTGTCATCTCCTCAGTATATCAGTTGGTTTTGTTTCCTTTTCTTACCAGACCTGGCAAGACATGCAGGTTCCAGTGCTTGCAGGGGTAGGTATTGTTCTTATTAATTCCATACAACACACTTTTCCTCCGCACGGCATTGCACTCAAAGACAGATCAAGCTGTTGCTCCATCTCCTTTGAATGTGAGTTCCATAATTGCATTTAACTGTTTCTGACTACAAATGCTTTTTGAAAGCCACATGATACCTAGATTGAAGAGGATTCTACCAAAGACTTTAGTATTTATTGCTGAACAAATCTTTCCATAATTATTTTTGCCAGATCTGGCCTCTGTCTCTCTCTTTTTATAAATCATTATGGGGAAATTTTTAATTTTATTTTCCTGTGGTCCCTCAGCCTGTACAAATGCATGCTGAAGAGTCTTTTCCAGGAGCACCAGAAGCTATGAGTGATTAATCTTTGTGTGAACGTATTTCTTCAAGCCAAGTCCCACAGAAGCATGACAGTATCACCAATAGAAAGGGGGCGGAACTCTTTCGTGAAGAAACAGTACAATGTGATAAATGTTGGGAAAAAGAATGCTGTTGGCAATTATGAACACATAGTCCTTTCCTAAAGAGAACTCGTGAAATGAGCAGTGACCCATGAGCTGTCTGTAGATCAGCCGAGGGGGTCAGTGGGAATATGGTTGACAGGATTTTCTGTCAACTCACTGTGTTTACAGAAAACAGATGTGGGCCCTCACTGCTTGTCAACATGCATGCTTTGTCTTCCACACCACCCTCTGGACTGACCAGCTGACTTTCAGTTTGAAATTCGTTTTATTTCTCAGAGAAGTCACATCAGTATTCCACATTGCTTTCTCTGTGGAATGGATTTATTCCTTGGTTTATTATTGCTTTTCATGGTTGCTGAATGGCTGTCTCTATACTCCCAAAGCAATATTTGAGGGTTTGGGAATCACTTTGATTGGCTCAGTGCTTTGTTTTGCTTTTGTTTTTCTATTGTCTTTTGTATTGAAACAAATAGCACATAATTTAATCATTACTGACTCAAAAATTAATTAGTTTATGACTGAATAGAAAAATTAGACTTCGTTTATAGTTTGGAATAAAGGCTTTGATTTTGAATTTTCAATTGTCCCGTTCTTCATTTTCTAGTATTCTGAGATCTCTGACACAGCCACCGTGGGATTAGATGTGCGTCTGGGTTAAATAAACTCCAGGGGAAAGTACAACGGAACTCTCCTTACAGACTTTGCTCTCATTGTGTTTTCAAATCAATGGCACTGCCCACTTAGCTCTTTGATGCTCTGTAGTGCCAGCTTCTATTCTGTTTATACCACATGTTATGTTTGTGTACCATAACTTAGACAGACAGAAATACACAATAAAGTGTGTCCTCAACAGTAGAGTGTCAAAACGGGGAACTTTGGTGGAGTTTTCTGGTTTCTAAACCCCTGTAACCTCTTTGTGTGGAAAGACGTACAGTTTTGAATGACTTCATCAGTCTCCTATGCCTAGGCTCTACTTTATTTCTTGCTATGTTTGTGCTCAGTTACATGCTATTCATGATTGTGCAGCTTATTAATTAACTTCATTAATTAGGCATTCACTAATTGATTATTCCTACTGTGTGTTGAGCATCATTCCAAGCAAGGGATAAACAGATAAGTTTCTCTCCCATGTGTAGAAATGGAGGTGGTAGCATCAGCAAGCAAAATAAAAAGAAAATAAGGAGATAAGGGAAATTATGAAAATATTGATTAAAGCAAAGTAAGGAGAGTGTGAGGGCGGAGTGATTGCGGTCATCATGGTGAGCTTCTCAGAAGAGGTGGCATCTGACTGGAGACCCCACAGGAGGCAAGGGGCTGCTGAATAAAGAGAAGACTTCTGGGTAGAGGTGAAGATTCTTGTGATGTCTTTGACCTGCCCTGGCTCTTACATTCCCCTGACCTCTCTTCGGCAGGATTGTCTGAGCTTGGGCAAGGTTTGACTGTGGATCTTTGCATCTGTTTCCATCAGTCACTGGATGAATGCTTTCTAACAGTAGGAGTAGTCATCGGTCTGATCACAGGAGATGACCAGTTCAGGTTATGAATCCACGATGGCTAGGAGTCTTAGCTGGGTTGTAGACTCATGGGAGTTCCCTTTGCATTAAGTTTCTACTTAACCCCACCATGCCCCCCACCATGTCTGGTCATCCCTTTCAGTAGTCTCCTCCTCCATCCATCCCCTAACCAGACCCCTCTAGTTCCCATCCCCACCAGCCCCTTGTCCACACAAGAAATGTCTTGTGTTTCCTTTCCAGGGAGATTCATGCCTGCCTGCCTAGGTCCTCCTTGTTACCTAGCCTCTCTGGCATTATGGATTGTAGCATGGTTTTTCTTTACAGCTAATATCCACTTATGAGTGAGTGCATGCCATGTTTATCTTTCTGTGTCTGGGTTCTCTCACTCAAGATGACTTTTTTCTAGTTCCATCTATTTGTTTTCAAATTTCCTGATGTCATTGTTTTTAACAGCTGAATAATACTCTATTGTGTAAATGTACCACATTTTCTTCATCCACTCTTTGGTTGACTTTTAAAGAGAAACCTAAATTTCTCAAACTTTTTATATTGGAATTGCAAACAAATGACAAATATAAAACAAAGAACTGTAAAAGACTTGGATAATCACTAAATAGATGTTTTTATCGATGCATAAGAAGCAGATGATGCAAATAAAAGCACAGACCCACATAGTTTGAATGAAAATGACTTCAGATTTATGTCTGTCAGCAATATAGATATTTACAAATAACCCATATGAAAATGTAGAAAAGCACATTACATCTCCACACGCCGTCCCATAGCTGCATTAAGCTCAGTGACAGAGTTTGCCAATCTGCAGTTGTTTGTACATAGACATTTTGTGCATTAAAAATAAGTATACATAATTTAAAATAAATTACATTACACAATTTACAAAATAATATTAACAAAAAAGTTCACAGACAGTTGCCTCCTTACTACAGTAAAATAAATATTCAGGTAGTTAAACTGACAAAAGTGTAACCACTTACAGTGATATAATTTAAAGAAAGAATGAGTATAAATGTAATAATATTATATTTTACAGCAATGGATACTGATCTCTTCAAAAATTCTGTGATAAAAGGAGCAGAAAAAGTACCAGAGAAGGAATCTAAATGTTAACTTAAAAAAAAAAAGCACAAACTATCCAGAAACCTTATTGAGGCTCAAAATTAGTTAATAAATAATTACGTAAAAGAAAAATTAACAACTACAAAACAGAACAATAAAACTTATAATCAGTTATATTCTAATTAAAGTAGGTTTTTGCCCACTGGCAAGTTGGCTTGGTTCCGATGTTTGCAAGTTTCTGGTCTGGTTTGACAGAGCAGAATAAAAATGCAAATTTAAATCTATTTGTTTAACATTTTTTAAATTCTTTTACTATTGCAAACATAAGCACTTCCCACTGTCTTTATTACATAAGGATGATTTTTATCACACTGCAAATATCTTTTTGATAAAAAAACAAAAAGAAATAAAAGAAAAAAAAAGCCACTTACTGGGTCCACACCTCAGTGTTAGAAGCCTGTGCCAGGACTTCTGAAGGCAGTGGGGTGGGGGTGAGGTGGCTATCATGAGGAGAGGAGAAGAGGGAGATTCTGTTCTCACACCCAAAGTAGACCCCGAATGCTCAAGTGTGCTCTGCAGGAATTCTTATAGACTTGTTCAGGGGCTGCTGGCTCCCTCCTTCCTCCGTGCAAGAGAACTGGACAGAATACATTCGAGCTGAACTTAAAAACATTACAAATATTGAGATTCCAGGATGTTTCTGCAAATCTATTCAGGTTTTAACTCCCCCTAGAATTAGGCCCTCCTTTTCATTCATTATGGATAGATACAGACATTTTCACTGTTGTGCAAAGTGGGGAGTGAACAAAGATTTTAGATGAAATTGGGAGAATAAGAGGATACTGGCTAATAACAATGTAAGTATAGAAATCGACATTTTCACACTGAAGATTTTCTATTCTTCTCTTGGCATGCCACCTGCACAACTCTTCTTTACTCTTTATTCATTGCTTTGATAAGGATAGTCCACTTAATTAAAAATGTTTACACTCTAATAGTTGTTTGTGTTTCAATAGGAAGCGTTAATAAATGTGCTTCACTCTTCCTTGTAAAACTCTGGGCGTGTTTAGTGGAAGGAGGTTTGGAAGGAAGTAGCCAAGGCTGTAACAACCAGTAGGAGAGTAAAGTTGGAGAGACTAGGCAGAGAGAAGCATCACACAGAACCAAGGATACAGAAGTAAGAGGAGGTAGGTGTGAGGGAATGCTGCCTCTTCCTCCAAAAGCAATGGCTTCATCTTGGAATATTCAGGAACCTAGTGATTCTGATTAAGCCACTGTGACAATTGTCGCCTCTTACAGCATGTTCTGACACTTAGAGTCCCTGTGGAGAAGGACTAAGCACACTCATAAAGGATCTATAGCCATGCGTTCCAAGCCAAGTGCCTCTCACAAAGCAAACTTTTCTTTTGGATGTCTTAGTAATCTATGCATACAAAAGCCATTGCTAATTTTAAGTGCCCAGCAGAGTGTCTTACATGAGATAACTCATTAAGTATGTCTTCTTATAAGTATTTTGTGCTTTATTTTATAAATGACATGCTTTAGCGTACTCCTTTTCAATTAGCTTAAGCTACACTCAAAAAGTTTTGAAATAGAGCTTATTTATAGTCAGTATATTGGATGGCACTGATTATAGGCAAATCAGTCCCTTTCAAGCAGCCATGCTGCTCCTTCTTGGAAAGTCCAACAAAATTATATAAATGCCTGCATTTGTCCTGTCTTTTAAAAATCAAGTAGAAAATCTCTCTTTTGTCCTTCCTTCCTTCCCTCCTTCCCTCTTTTCTTTCTTCCCTCCTTCTATCCTTCCTTCCTTCCTTCTTTCCCTCCCTACTTCCTCCCTCTTTACCTCTCTTTCTATTTCCCTCTCCTTTCATTTCTTCCCACAGAATTTTTTTGAAAGGCAAAGGGCTCAACAGACAAGTCTTTACTGTTTACCTCCTGAATTATTAGATGAACTAAGAGAATAAAATTCTGGTGAAATTCCAGTATTTATTTCCCTATAAACTCAATAAAGACATATATACATGAATATAATAATCATCTATTTTGTTCAAATTATCCAAATGGATACATTTTTCTTTCTACATTCCTAACATGAATCCATGCGATATCAATTTATCCTGATACTGAATATCCAATGTTTCTCCAATATTAATGTGGTGTTTCAAATAAAATTATTTGTTCATAAAAACCTTTCATCTTCACAATATTTTATAACTTTTGATTTCTTATTATATCCTATGTAGGAGAACACTGATTTGTCATTATAATTAATCACATTTTATAAAATACCTTAAGTGTAGTTCGTGTAAGGCAAAAAATTTTATCCCCTTTCTCAACATCATTAGGTGATGCCCATATTTAATCAGATTGTTATAGTATTACACCGAATCAGAGTAGATTATGTTTCAACTATTTTGGACAAACAGAGTTTATTTTATCCAAAGAGATTAACTTGAAGATTATTTGGAAGACCTCTAATGTGTGTGTGTGTGTGTGTGTGTGTGTGTGTAAACAATCACAGTTTTAGAATAACAACATTATTTTCTTTCCTCTTCATGTTTTACCTCAACTAAATCCTTGACTTAAAGTAAAGCTCATCCTTCTCTCTGCTCTCTTTAAAATGATATGTATCATCTAAAGCCTTACTTTTGGAACCAATAAGAAACACTTATCACGGTTTTTCATATTGAATTATATATAATGATTTTCATTTGGGGAATTACAACATTTTCTTAGTCAGAATTCTTCTGTAATCTTTGCAGGAAAAGCTGTTATAGCGGACAGCAGAGGGAGCTCAGACCCAGTCTATGAAGGTAACTACCTCATCACCCAAATCAGCAATGTAGACTTGTTTAAGATTAAAAACAAACAAAACAAAACAACAAAACCCAAAAGGTGTTTACTGTATTTAAAAGACTGGAAAGCATAATGGTCCCTTCCAGAGGCTATTTGTAGTAGTTACTGCCAGAAATGAGTGACTGTTGTTTTCATTTCACAGTTTAACTTCTTTTTTAAAAGAAGAAAGTAAGATAGATTCCACAGTGGCATTTCTCAGGCTATGCTAGTAAACATAGAACCATCTCCCCAACAATCACTAAGTAATGACTCTAAATTGTTACCTGTGAGATTAAGCCTGGTAGACAGAGAATAAACAACTGAGAACTAGAGATTGCATAATGTAGAACCAGCTCTGAAAACACACCTAGAGTGCAGGATGTGTATATATAGCCTGTTGGTTGTTTTGTGGAAAGGAAGTTCTATTGGAAAACAGTAATGATGTTCTTTTTCCTGACGAGTTTCTTCTCTGGCGACACTGCACAGTGGCAGTGTTGTGAGCTCAACTACAGACTTGACTGAAAACATTTCCTGTTTGATCTTTTGCTTAAAAGATTTGTGACCCTTGCTCTAGAGACTTAAGTAAGCTCTGGATGATATCATTCACTCCTCTTTCTTTTTAAATTTCAGGTTATAAAATCATACTTCTTTAGATTTCAGCCATGAGAACAGCAAAAGATCATGGCTATGAATACAGCCTACATGGCAGAATGTCAACCTCACGCCAAAAAAGCAAATCAAGAAGAAAGAAAAGCTAACACATAAGTTTGATTTTTTTTTTGTTAAAAAATCATTGATACATTATTTTCTCCATCTGCTCAAAATTACGAAGATAACCAGTCCTTTTTTCTTTTCTTTTCTTCTTCTTTTTTTAAACAAAGGTAACAAATATATAAATCTTATCTGAAACAGCCTTCCAAGAGCAACTGTAACCCCACCAGGGGATTCCACCTTTTGAAGGTTGGTGTGTTAGGGATTTCAACACTTGAATTCTTCCCGTGTTGTCAATTTTATAATGGCTGTAGTTGAGAAGGAAGAGTATAGACAGCAGATGTCATAGCAGATTCAATCCTGTTACCATCAAGACTGAACTAACTCTCTTCAAAATACAAACTCTTGCAAATGTCTCCACAGCACTCTTGGCACAGATATCTTCATCCCATATGAAAAGAGGCAGTTTCTATGGCAATACTGGTTAAGTGCCTATCATGCTGCACTAATATAGTGCGAAATGTGCCTTCCATACAGCAAAAAAGATGTTAGGCAACCAGTGTGAAATTAGGGAAAGTAGAAATGTATTAATACACGCTTATTTGTTTTCTAGACAGTAACCACTATAAAATCCCGAACTTGAGGATTCTGTCTTCTAAGATACTAGTACGTGTCCAGCATTCACACATTGGAGAGAGACAAGAGTAGTCTTTTAAAAGAGTTTGTTTCTGAAACGCAGGCCAATAAAAGCCACTATCAACCGTGAAGATGCTATATTGTTCAATGTATTTTCCCTCTAGTATAGGACTTACGTCATCTTCACTGTTAGAGGTTGATTATTAACAAGTATATAAGATGACATCATAATGTAACTCATTTGATCAAATATATGTATTGTTATGCTTAAGTGTAGAATTGTAAAGCCTTCATTATGAACTGTTCATGCTAGAAAGTTTTGTGGGTTAGTGTTGCAAGCAGTCTTGCATGTGGCTTCCCACTTGGCCAATTTCCTCACTGATTTTCAGAGATCGAAGTGTCTCTTTCTTCAATCGGTAGATTTCAAAAAAGATGATACAAAACTCTCAAGACACAACATGCATTCCACTGCATCTCTTAGGATTCTCAAGGTTGACTCTCTGTATGTCAGTGGTTTTGTCTTGAATATTCCCAGTGGGAGTAGAGTTTTCTCTTTTTTTCCCCCTTAATGATGGTGTTCATAACAGTTAAAGTTAATTTAATCAACACATTTCAATACTGATACTGTGGCCCCTGAATGGCTACTACGAAGGCAAAAGGCCAAGTCTGGTTGTTTCCAGGAATACTCCGTGTTACATGTCAGCATCTCCATCATAGGCTAAGGTTAAAGGTTTGAGGCGGTTATTTTGTCGTCTTTGGGGTTTCTTTGGCTTTTTGCTGTAGGAAATTCAGGAAAAAAAACGAAGAAAGAATGTCAGTATTTCATGTTAAATATTATTGTTTGAATAAAAAGCAAAACAAATTGGCTGATCTAAGTTGTCTCTTTTCTAGCCTGCCTTGTAGACTATGACTTTGTGATCTCTGAGTTTCACAGTTTCAAGAAACTGTGTTATAACTATTTTGTAAAAGCCAGATTATTCAATTTCCTGATTGATAACAATGCTATTTAGTACTAGGTATTTTGTTTATTAGAGGTCCGGTTGTTGGAAACCAATTCAGCTGATATTCTAAATATCACTTCCTTTTATACCTGGAGGTTTAAAAGTGTTTTATTCCCTGTTTATTTCCTCTTTCTTTCTCTCTTTCTCTCTCACCTTCTTTCTTTTTGAATTGAGTTCAAAATCAAAAGGACTACTACTAGGTTTCTTTGCTGTGAAAATTATTTAACAAATATTCAAAAATCAAAGTTTAGAAACTTCTAAAAATAATGCACATTTATTTAAAAATACATTAAAGTTTGTGGGGCAACTTGCAGTGGAACCAGTATTTATCCCTAGTGCATGAACTGGCTCTTTGGAGGCCATTCTCTTTGGTGGGATGCTTTACTCAGCCTAGAGACAGGAGGGGAGGGCCTTGGTCCTGCCTCTAGTAATGTGGCAGATTTTGTTGACTCTCCCTGGGAGGCCTTACCCTGTCTGAGGGATGGATGCTGGGTGGGGTGTGGAGAAGGTGGGGGGAGTGGGAGGACTGGAGGGAACTGGGATTGGTATGTAAAATAAGATTCTTTAGAAATAAGAAAACAATTATCATAACATCGTCCTCTAGGGAAAATTCAATGTAAAATATATATTACACACCATTCATGAAACGCAATATTCTATGTCATTTATTCATGAGAAAATTCTTGGGAAAAAATGACCTCGAACAGTTCTGACTCATTGCCACAATCTGAATGACTCAGACAAGGCAGGCAGAGTTCAGATTCTCTAATCTTAAAGTTTGTGTGAAGTTGGAAGAAATACAGCAAGTGCATTTCACACACTAGCCTGTTCCAGTGGTACTGGGAACTGAAAGGGTTTTTTTTTTTTTTTTTTTGAAATAACAATGTTATCTACCCTTCTAGATTTAGAAACCTTTACTCACTCACCAAGCTAGATAAATCATGGAGACGACAAAGACGAACAGCACAAATGCCCCTGCTGCGACACCGTAAACCCAGGTCTTTAGTCTCCCATCTGAGAAGAACAGATATTAATATTGGTGTACATTAGTCTGGAACATATAGGACAGGTTTGAATATGACCCCTGATCATTCACATGTGATCACGGGTTCAAGACTTACATTGAAGTCTTTCCTAGTACAGGCGCCACTAATGGAAAGCAGCTACTAGGGGTTAGGCAGCACCGCATTCAAGGGAAGTAGCAATGAAAACAGTCAAAAAATGACCAATTGTGTTTACGTTCAGGTGCGGAGTTCATGCTGAAATTTTTTATATGAAATCTTATCTCAGATTCATTATGTGCATTGTTCTACCCACTTATGCTTTGACTTTTTCCACCTATATCAGGAATGGTGTATTATATTAAAAAGATATAAACAGTGCAGCTTTTAAGAAATTCATAAACCTAGAGTAGATGCCAGCAGGTATTTGACCATTTGTTGTGGTTTCAACTGCTTTGTACCAGATGAAGCTTAACAATTAACTTATTTGTTTTGCAAATACAATTTTATCTATTCAGTACTTATACTGTATGTAACGATAATAGAATTGGCAGAAATAATGACACAGAGTAACAAGCAAAGGATGTTTAAATGTGTCTTTGCTAACTATTTGATATTTGCAATCACTTGAGACAGGCACAACTTTAGTTCAGTTTTTGGGCTTATTGTCCTTGAAGTCTTAGGCTCTGAGTAAACTTCAAATGTCCATTGCTAGGGATGATATTGTCTAACTTAATTTGATGCAGATATTGTAGGCAATAGGTATGTACAAGTGTGTACTCAACACTCAAATCACAATATGATATGAGTATGAAAATTACACGTGGACAAAAGTGACTCTGCGGAGATTTAGCCAATACTCACAATGAATCAAATGCTATTTAGTACTAGGTATTTTGTTTATTAGAGGTCCGGTTGTTGGAAACCAATTCAGCTGATATTCTAAATATCACTTCCTTTTATACCTGGAGGTTTAAAAGTGTTTTATTCCCTGTTTATTTCCTCTTTCTTTCTCTCTTTCTCTCTCACCTTCTTTCTTTTTGAATTGAGTTCAAAATCAAAAGGACTACTACTAGGTTTCTTTGCTGTGAAAATTATTTAACAAATATTCAAAAATCAAAGGGTGTATTTTTTTCAGAATATGTGCCTCTTTACTATTTTGACATGTTCATCTTGGGGAAATTATTAAACAAAATGAAAAGGATATTTTTTATTTAAATTGAGCAAAGTGATCTCATTTGTGGATATCTGCTTTGATCTTAATTAAGGTCAAAATTGCTAAGTGGTAATTTGTTCCCCTAGCTAGGAGAGGAGAATTTCCAACATTTTAACAGATAAATCAGCTTTTCAAAACTCAATTGTGTTTTCAGCTAAGAATCTAATAAAAGTAGTGATTATATGGATAAAGGTAATCAACCAGGTATTTAAAACACCTTAAAAATTCAATATTGGTTTTCTAATAATGGGAATACTTTTACTTAACAAATCATCAATAGAGGTATGCTAGTTACACAAGTTTTTCCCTTCATTTCTCATGTTTCTAATGAAATAATAAAGTTGATTATGTCTTACTTTGCATGGGTGTTCTTTAGGTGAGAGAGAAAGAGAATCCATGTTGCTTATGGAGTGCTAGTAGGGCACTTTTTGAACCTGGAGATAGGTGTGTACTGTCTATTCCAGTTAGAGAAAATATATAAAGTAGAGCATAACACTTTTTCAAGCCTGCAAGCTTGTTCCTGTGCAGATCAAGTCCATTCCTGGATATACTAAGAGCATACATTGTAATATGACAATGGTTTGGTCCATGTCCAAGTGTGATCATCCCATCAGGAAGGGAAGGATCTAACCCTGTCTCTGTATATTTGCACTAGTAAGGATTCTGAGGGATTGGCAAACATTAACGTTTGGAAGGTTACTTCCATCCGAGCACCCTGTGACATGGGACTGCATTTGTCTTGGTCTTTGTGAAGGTTCACACCACAAACTGTATGTTTAAACCGAAAACTCCAAATGCCTTTGTAGTCTTATTTGTCCTTGTTGTAATTGAAAACAAATTTTTCCTCAATATTTTCATTACTATATTGAATATACAATATTCAATGTGTATTTATTATACTTATAACTTTAGGACTGGGCTTTTGATAAATAATATCAACACTAATTTTTTTCTGAGAAAAGTAATTTCAATTCTACACATTTGCAGCATGGGTTCTTCTTTCAATAGGAAAATAAAATTACATAAAGACAACTGCAATGTTAAAATGAGTAAATGGGCTAAGAAATAATCATTTATTTGAAAATCCTTGGTTGTTAAAAAATGCTGTAGCATTGTTACTGGTATAATGTGTAAGTAAAGAATTTTGTGTTCTTCACCTGGCCCAAATGGCTGTAGAAACCAGGTCCTGCCCCGTCCTGTTGGGTTAGTGGAGGGTTGGGTTGGGTGAACTGCCCGGCTGGTTTTGACATCGCCTCTTTTGTCCTCCACAGTGGGAATCACCACCACTGGGATAAGTGTACATTGCTCCAGGGTGCTGTTGGAGGACATGACTTCGGTGTACCCTTCTTCACAGCGACACACCTTCATCTGCAGAACAGGGAAGTTTACACTACACACTGGACATGATCTAGGAAAGTATCACTAAGCATATTCAGAAAAGGAGTATTAGGAAGCATTTTCAAGAGGACTGACGACATGCAACATCTGCCTTAGCTACCTTAACCCAGCCTACTCATGATACTGTGCCCCATCATTCTAAAGGTAAATAAAAGGAGTGCACTGAGAGTTGTTCATATAGTTTAAAAAAATGCTTCCAAGTGAATGGTTCCAGCCTTAAATCATGGCAATCCGGGGCAGGGGAGGCATTGTACCAGAGACAGTGGGTGACAGTTGTTGGAGAAGGCTTGTCCATTTTAATGAATGTGCACATACCTCACTACAGTATGAGTGGGGTTGACTACAGGGTGGGTTACAAGACCTGTCGGCATCAGGCTGGCTCACCACCAAGCAGCCCCCTGCAGAACAGAAAATCATATTTTAACAAATGACTCCTCTTGCTGTAATAAACACATACACTCTTTTAGATTTGTCTTGGAAGTCTGAAACACTTTGGAAGTTACAAGAAGCTCTGGACTTCTGAAATGGCTGGCTAACCTCCGTCACTTTCATTAGTAACTTGGGACCTTTATACCCAGATGATAGTGTTGTGGCTTGTGTTTTGCAAGCATCCAAGACACATTGCCAAGAGGCTTATTTTGTAGCTGCTATTTTTGAAACACCAGTTTCATATAACCTATTTCTGATAATAGTCAGAAAAAATAGGTCACATAATCTGTTTCCTCAACCCAGGACCAGCAATTGAAAAGCAAAATATTTTAATTTTATTTTATTACTAAATACTTTTATTGACTACTCAGAATGATAGTTTTCACATCCCTTAAAGTAACTCTTCAATTTATTTGATCATTACACAAAAATGCTTATTAGAATGCATATCTGTTTTTAAGGAAAATTACTGTTCTTGTAGCTAATTCCAGATACTTGTGGTTTCTGGAAAGAAGACCAATGTAACCAGCAAGTCTTTTGCTTGTGCTATTTTCCAATTTGCCATTGAAATTAATTTTCCTAGTTTAATTCTCACATACAATACAAATTGTGCATTGCCTGTTATTGCATTTTAAATACGGAACTGTTGTCTGAAGATACAATATTGGTGATATAGGTGTGACCCATAGTTTCGAATTGTACTTACTCAGTTGAACAAAACTTTAGCCAAACAAATGATTTTTTTCATTTATGGAGCTCATAGTATTTTGGATCAATCAAAGGTTCCCATCATCAATTCTTTGTTTTTCCTTTAATCTTATAAATTCTTTTAAAAAAGTTTTTATTAATTAATTCTTTCATATTAAAATGCATATAATAATGCAAAACAAAAGCTATCACAACAAAAGCAGTTAGTCATTGTAAGGCACACATGGCTTAATGACCATACTGTCAATTGCCAAACACAAGAAGAGAAAGAACAGCAGTTCCATGACGTCCTTACAGTGATAATCTGTATATTACAGCAACTGATCCACAGAGATAATGTACTTACACCTGTTTTCATAGGGAACATCATCTAAACGGTGGAAGAAGAATGCATCTAGAGGTTATCGTAAATAATTCCACATTGGCTTCTTGGTAACAGAGAAAAATAATTGTATACATACTTTCATGTATTAAAATAAATTAAAATGTGACATACTGATGAATCATTAAATTTTGACTTAATTTTGATTTGGGAAATAGTCTCAGTTTCATTAGAGAAACAATAGAGTCAGAAGAAAAAGCAAGCAAATATGATTTGCTTCTATATTTGAAAAAAAGCAACCTTAGGAATCATTTAAAGAATGACGTATATTTCCTTCCATGACCTGAGCTTAAAGAATGACCTATATTCCCTTTCAGGACCTGAGCAAAGTGAATAGCACCTGGGATACTTGCTTTGGAATGGCTATTCTTCCTTGTCTGTGCTTTTTTATCCCCCATTTCTTTTACAGTGGAATTCTGGTTCATTGTTTTCATTTCCCAAATAATACTGTTCAGACAGCAAAGAGCTTCCTGGTGGGAATGTTTTCTATTATATATTATATGTCCACTGGGAGATGCTATTATCAAAGGCTTTTTGATGGAGTTTTTATTCACAAAAATTCCGTCTTCATAAGAATGTAGTTTTGCATTCTGTTCTGGCTTTTATAGGGAATAAATAAGTAATTAGGTTTCAATAAACCTGGGTCCCTTGAAATTCGATATAAAAATTGATGTTTTCCAAGAAGCACATTGATCCTGGCTGAATCCTTTGATCTCACTGTATATATGAAAGATAAATCGCAGTGGACTTACTCAGGGTCAACTTGATGCATACTACTTTGTTTTTCTTGCAGAAGAGTTGAAACAAGAGCCCCCAGTCAGCAGGTGTCCTGGGCAGCTGACAGTCAACATTCCTCCTGCCTCTGATATGGAAATCCCTAATAACTAAATTATTTTAAGATGATAATAAAGGGATAACATTTTAAGTTTGTGTTTATGTGCCTGAAGTTGAGATTCTGTTTCAGACCTTGATTTTTTTTCCATGAAATTTGCAGGCTATTCAATATAGATTCATCTTGAAGTCTTTCCTTTATGTTTAGAATGGGCCCTTGACTTTACTGAGCTCATACAAAGAACTTGTATATTAAAGAATTCCATTGGGGATATCTTTCAAAAATCTTCTTTTGATTTTCTTCTTTGGAAGTATAATAATAGTTTGTGATGGGAACATAGCAAATGTTCCTCTCAGATGCCCTGGGTTTGATTTTACTGGTAAATTTTTCTTATTAATCACCAAAATGTCTTTATAATAGATTTGATAATTTAGGTATATTATGTTTATATGTGTATTCTACCTTGGCCTGTACCATTTTCAAAGCACACAAGCAGAAATAGTGAAAGGCATATTATTTTCTTTTCATATAGTAAGTTGTTAATGTCTAAAATCTCTAGGGAAAAGCAGGAAATCACTTATATTCATTTATTAGTGCTAAGTAGTATTTCAGTGAAATATAGTCTAATGTCTAAGGTGACAGATAAGAGAGAACTTGAAAATGTGGTTCAGGCCTTTACTCCCAGTACTCGGGAGGTAGAGGCAAATGGATCTCTGAGTTCAAGGCCAGCCTGGTCTACAAGAGCTAGTTTCCTCCAGGACAGGCTCAAAAGCTAGAGAAACCCTGTCTTGAAAAAAAAAAAAGACGAGAGAGAGAGAGAGAGAGAGAGAGAGAGAGAGAGAGAGAGAGGAGAGAGAACTCGAGATATTTTAAAATAAAATAATTGTCGTTGGTCACCACACATGTACAACACAAATTTCTTGATTCCAACAGTGTGTTAACAATTCAGTGTCCTTCAGCAGTCAACTACACATGTGTTACAGGAGTAAATGCAGAAAGTCAAGATACCTGTCACGTTTACGCCATCTGACCTTTGACACCAGACTGTGCGAGAGGAGCCCTTCCAAGCGCTGGCCATCCACTTATACTCGTAGCACTGCCCGTCTGTAGGCACAGAGCAAGCACTGATGTTGCATTACTCGGGACCACCGTGAGAGAGGGTTATCAACGCATGCGTGAACGAATGAAAGGGGACAGGAAGTCTGCTGCTGGGCTTCCTGAATGTTGCAAAACAAGTTTGATAAAACTGCAGCTGTCAACCTAAGTCCCCACTGATGTTCCAACGTATCTTTTATGCTGCTACTTTATGCCAGACACTGGATACTTCTAAAGTTTTAGCTCATTTTTATTTTTTTATACACTGAAATAAGGAACACAGAGACAAATCAGAGAATAACTAACTGTAGAATATATTCAATTATTTATCATGTAATTCTAACAAACATTACCATTTAGCCATACTGGCTTTATTTTTCATTTGTTTGCTCATCAATAAAAAGAGTTAAGAACTTAGTATTCCCTAACATCATTTCTTGACCCTACTCCTAATTTCCCAGCCACACCACATCACTCTGAGGTAAATATACAGCTTTCTACATCATTTTTACTTTTTACTATAAATATACTTATATGCATATTTTATTCAACATTACTTAATAAAATTAATACTTTATTCAAATTAACATTTACTCAGTATTATGGATTCGCACAAATTATGATTTATATATAATTCAGGACCTTATTTGTCATTGTTACAGATGAACTATCTCAATGTGATTTTAATGCAGCTCTAGTCAATTTATTTTAACTGCCACATGGAGTTGCATTGTATCAGGTTTTATAATTTATTTGTTTTCTTTGGTCATGTTATTTTAAATTAGTGCCATTAACATGCCCTGTTGGTCAGCCTGAAGCAAGTATATTGGTGCTTTAAAAATATAACTATCTAGAAAGGAAATCTCTGATATAACTGCAGACAGCTGATACTTTGCTAAATATTGTTTATATTTGGCACTACATAGCGAATACCCAATGGTAGCTATGACTCTATTGCTCTCTCTACACAAAGGAAGTAACACATTTAATTTATTTTTAATCAGTCTTGGCTGTATAAAAATCTATCTTATCATAATAAATTAAGTTATTGATAAATAAAATTATCAAACAGTTTTAAGAATGTTTTGGATTTCTTCTGGTAAAAATGGCTTATTGCTATTTCAGCCATTTTATTTCTTATTGACACCCATGTCTTTACTCACTGAAATAAGGGAGTTATTAATTTTAAATAGTGATCATTAATGTATGCATCAGGAATCCCAGACTGTCTTGATGTTCCCCAACAAGAGTGTGTAGCTCAGTTCCATGTTTAGCTACCTATATGCCTGGTGTAAGGCTTGATTTGCAAGCAGTTCTGTCTGTGCTTAGAGTTGGTCATAAGAAAAGGCACTAAAATCTCCTGTCCTTTTCTCATAATTTTTGTTTTCAAAATATTTCTTGGTTCTTTTTGTATTTAATTCCCCCAGAATTAACCTTAGTATCCACTTCTCAGATTCCCTTAATAGCCTTTTCAAATTGCATGGAATTAGGTAAATACGTGTAAAATTCACATTGTAGCACTGAAGCTACTATGCATGAAATGGTCTATTGCACCAGTACTTTAGTCCTTTATTCATTTCAGCTCAGAGTTTATGGTTTTCCCACACATTTTTGTTAGACTTAGGTACAGCTTTTTTCCTAGTGAAAACTTTATCATTGAGTTTTCCTTACAAATAAAACTAATTATTTCAGTGTTAGTTTAAAATCATGCTTCCAAGTTTACCTCTTACTTTCAAGTACTTATATATTTAAGTAAATTATTATGAACATTTTACCCAATTTTAGTGTAGAGATTTTGATTGTACATGGGCTCACAGTCACATTTTATACTATATTAAATGTGAATATGAATCTAATATGTTGGAATTTGTAGTAGTTAATAAATCCATGGCATACCGTTTCTGTTAGTGTTGATAGATTAATGACAACCTAACTTGTTTTCATTTAGATATTTATGTTTATTAGTAAAACTTCTTTTTTCTATGTGTAATAATGGAAAATTTTCTTTTTTCATTACCTATTTGCTTTGAAGTAGTCATTTTGTTCCTTTGTCATATAAAACATGCTATCATTTCTGTTGGCTATTTATTCTGCTTTATTCAATTTTTATTTATTAATATAGGCTACATACTACTTACCTTTTCTGACCTTTAAAATTTAATTAAAATATATTTATTGCATTTTTACTATCCCTCTCCTTCATCCAAAATCTCTCCCTTTCCCTTTTTCCCACTCCTCAAATTGTTGTTTTTTTTTCTTGAGTTTTTATTGTTATATAGATACTTCCTCTTAAAAAATAAAATTTCTTGCCAGATGGTAGTGGCATACACCTTTATTCCCAGCAATTGGGAGGCAGAGACAGGTGGATCTCTGTGAGTTTGAGGCCGGGCTTGTCTACAAAGCAAGTTCCAGGACAGGCTCCAAAAGCTACAGAGAAACCCTGTCTTGAAAAAACAAAAATAAATAAGTGAAAAATTAACATTTCTTGATTTGAATACGCAGCTTACTTTTGCTCTTCCCCCCATATGTGACCATATAAGGCCCTTAGTTCTCCTGTAAACACTTATTTCCTTACTAAGAGCTAGCAGGTAACAATCTGTCTGACTTTCAGGTTTTGCTTGTGTGTGTAGGAGAGGATGTCTTTTTCTATTTTGCTATTGATTTCTAATTTTACTTCACGGCATTTAAGATTAACAATTCATTCCTTTGATCTGGGATCTATTTAATTAATTGCAAACCTCAAGCTTCTGTATTTCTTTGCCTACTTGGTCCTAGAAATTGAGGATATTTTATGTGGTTGGTAAATTTAGTAAGATTATATTGACAAACACACACACACGACATATATAATTATATATAATGACATATAAATGACATATATATAATTATATATATGACACACATATATTATACATGTATATATGTACACATATTCATATATATATATAATTCTTAGGTTAAGTCATTAATCCATTACTTTCATCCTAAGTGTTCTCAGTATCTTAGTTCTCTTCCTCCAGTATTTAAACATAAGGTGATATTTTCTTTCATATTTGCTATTTATTGCTTGTCATATTTCTTTTTAAATTGTTTTTATTGAGCTATGTATTTTTCTCCATTCCCCTCCCTTCCTCCCCCTTCCCTTCTACCCTTACCCATGATTTTTATGTTCCCAATTTACTCAGGAGATCTTGTCTTTTTCTACTTCAACTGTAGTAGATACTAGGGTCCTTTCTGTTGTTTCTGGATTCTGTCAGTATTTTATTGTGTATCTTTGCATCAATGTTCATGAGTGATATTGGTCTGTAATTCTCTTTCTTAGTAATGTTTTTGTGTGGTTCAGGTATCAGGTTAATTGTAGTCTCGTAAAAAGAGTTTGGCAATGTTCTTTCTGTTTCTATTGTGTAGAAAAAAATTGAGGAGTTCTTTAAAAATTTTGTAGAATTCTGTTCTGAAACCATCTGGTCCTGGGCTTCTTTGGGTTAGGATACTTTTGATGACTGTTTCTATTTCTTTAGCAGTTATAGGTCTACTTATTTTGCTTATCTGGTCTCAATTTAACTTTGATAAATGATATTTATGCAGAAAGTTGTTTCTTTTAAGTTTTCCAATTGTGTGGAGTATAGGTTTTCAAAATATGACCTGATGATTCTCTGAATGTCCTTCATATCTGTTGTATGTCCCCCTTTTCATTTCTGATTTTGTTAATTTGGATACTCTCTCCTTGCCTTTTGGTTGGCTTGGATAAAGTTCTGTCTGTTTTGTTGATTTTCTCAAAGAAACTATTCTTTGTCTCATTTAATCTTTGTATTGTTTTTTTTGTTTCTATTTTGTTGATTTCAGCTCTTATGTTGATTATTTTCTGCCATCTAGCCCTCCTGAGTGAGTTTGTTTCTTTATGTTCTAGAGTTTTCAGGTGTTCTGTTAGCTAACTAGTGTGGGATTTTTCCTGCATCTTCATGTAGGAATGTAGTGCTATGAAATTTCCTCTTAACAATGCTTTCATTGTTCCCCATAAATTTGGATATTTTGTGTGGTCATTTTCATTGAATTTTAGGAGGTCTTTAATTTCTTTCTTATTTCCTCCTTGACCCATTGGTGAATCAGGTGAGCATTGTTTAATTTCCATGTGTTTGTGGGGTTCTGAAATTGGTATTGCTTTTGAATTCTAAGCCATATTGATTCATAAGATACATGGGGTTATTGTGATTTTTGCATCTATTGAGGTTTGTTACTTAGTATGTGGTCATTTTTGAGAAGGTTCCATGAGGTGCTGAGAAAAAAATATATTATTTTATGTTTGGATGAAAAGTTCTGTAGATATCTGTTAAGTCTAGTTGAGTCATAATATCTGTTAGTTCTCTTATTTCTCTGTTAAGTTTCTGTCTGATAGACCTGTCCAGTGGTGAGAGTGGGGTGTTGAAGTTTCCCACTATTAGTGTCCACTAATATGAGATTTACATTTTAGTTGTGTTTCTTTTACTTATGAGGGTGCCCTTGTATTTGATGCATAGTTGTTCAGTATTGACATTTCCTCTTGATGGACTTTTCCTGTGACGAGTATAAAATGTCCTTCTTTGTCTTTTTTGATTGATTTTGGTTTTAAGTCTATTTTCTTAGATATGAGGATAGCTATACCTTTTTGTTTCTTAGGTCCGTTTGATTGGAAATTTTTTTACCAACCCTTTACTCTGAGGCAGTGTCTATCTTTGAGATTGAGGTATGTTTCTTGTATGCAGCAGAATGATGGATTCTTTTTTATTATCCAGTCTGCTAGCCTGTGTCTTTTTGTAGGTTAATTGAATTCATTAATATTAAGGGATATTAATGACCAGTGATTGCTAGTTCCTGTTATTTTAGTTTTCATTGTTAGTGATATCATTGTGTGTGTTTTTCCCTTCTTTGGGATTTGCTGCAGTAAGATCACCTATTGTCTGTGTTTTTGTGGATGTAGCCAACTTCCTTGAGTTAGAGTTTTCCTTCTAGTATTTTGTATAGGGCTGGGTTTGTAGCTAAGTGTTGGTTGAATATTGTTCTGTCATAGAATATCTTGTTTTGTCCATTTATGGTGATTGAAAGTTTTGTTGGGTATAGTAGTCTGGGCTGGCATCCAAGATCTCTTAATGTCTGCATAACGCTTGACCAGGACCTTCTGGCTTTCATTGTTTCCATTGAGAAGTCAGGTGTAATCCTGATAGGTCCTCCTTCATATGTTACTTGGCCTTTTTATTTTGCAGCTCTTAATATTCTTTATTTATTCTGTATGTTTAGTGTTTTGATTATTATGTGACAAGGGACTTTTTTTGACCCATTCTATTTGGTGTTCTGTAAACTTTTTGTATTGTCATAGGCATATCTTTATATTTTCTGTGCTTTTGAGTTAGATTTCTCCTTTTCCTATCCCTATTATTCTTAGGTTTGGCCTTTTCATGGTGTCCCATATATCCTGGATATTTTGTGTTTGTGTTAAGCCTTTGATAGATTTAATGTTTCCTTTGACTTATGAGTCTATTTCCTCTATTGTATCTTCAGCGCTTGAGATTCTCTCTTCCATCTCTTGTATTCTGCTGTTTATGCTCGCAGTTGTGGTTTCTGATTGTTTTCCCATATTTTCTGTTTCCAGAATTCCCTCAGTTTGTGTTTTCTTTATTGTTTCTATTTCAGTTTTCATGTCTTGAATTGTTTCTATTATCTGCTTGATTGCTTTTTCTTGGTTTACTTCAAAGAATTTGTTGATTTCTTCCAATTTTTCTCTTTTCTTCCCTTTCTTTGAGGGATTTTTAAATTTCCTCTTTAAGGGCCTTAAGCATTCTCCTAAAGTTATTATTTAGGTCATTTTCTTCTGCTTCATCTATATTGGGCTGTTAAAGTCTTGTTATTTTAGTGTCACTGGTTTTTGTTGGTGTCATGTTGTGCTTTGTGGTGTTGAGTGTTCTTACCTTGTCTACCCATCTTTCCCTCTGATTGGTGTAGTTGGGGCTGTACCCCTGGGGATCAATCTTCCAGGTGCCAGTGGATCCAAGGCTTGGATGGTTGCCCCTTGTAGTTCAGTCAGGGCCATGGTACCAGTCACCTCAGAGGTCACTTGGTGTTTTCATTAGACACTCCTGGCAGGCTGTGCAATCCTGGGGGTGATTTGGGCCTGCTCACATGGAGGATGCTTGTTTGGGCTTGCTCCTGCTGAGGTCGCTGGCAAGGGCTGGTTCTTGCAGATGTCCATGGCTTGGGCCTGGTTCCAAGGAGGTCTCTGTCTTGGCCCTGATCTCTTGGTGGTTGCTCTCTTGTACTTGCTCCTGTGGAGGTCGCTTGCTCAGGCTTACCCTGGAAGAGGTTGCTGTCTCAAGCGTGTTCCCTGGCTGGGCCTGGTGTCACAGAATTCTCTGGCTTGGGCTTGCTCTCTTGGTGGTCGCTCCCTCGAACCTGCTCCTGAGGAGGTTGCTTGCTGGTGCCTACTTGCTTGGATGTGCCTGGCTCAGCCCTGCTCACAGCCCTGCTCCCATGGAGGTCCCTGACTTGGGTTGGCACCTGAAAAACCTCTGGCTCAGGCCTTCTCTCTCAGCTGTTGCTCCCTCATACCTGCTTCTCTGGAGGTTGCTTCCTTGTACCTGCTCCTGCAGAGGTCACTGGTTGGAACCTGCTCTAGTGGATGTCACTCTGTAGTCACATATCTTAAACATTATAGAACAAAATCTAAGAATCTGAGCCTTACATTCTCCACTAGATACAAAGTCTTTTGTTGTTCTCAAGATGTCGCCATAGTCCAAACACTAACATTGTAATGCACTGAGGGTCTGGATACCGACTGTTACTGAGTGTCCTGCAAATATTGAAGGACTTCGTCTGTATATGCAATCCATGCATAGACACCTGAACATGTATTCATATAATGCTCTATGTCCAATTATTGTGAATTTAAAATTGCTACTTCTTACCAATGAATTGATCTATTAGCTTCTTAGACTATGTTAAAGGTCTAATTTTGCTATGGTTTTGTAGTGTTTAATTTTGCAATTTGTTTTCATTTGTTACATTTGTTACACAAATGAAAAATACTAGATTTGTGTTTGATCACAGATTTTATTAATATATAATCAGTTTTTCCTAATTATCTTAGGTTTCTGTAATTTATAAAACTAGGAAATATTTTTACAACATTCCACATTTTAAATCAGAATATCCCCCCACCCCGTGTGTGTGTGTGTGTGTGTGTGTGTGTGTGTGTGTGTGCATATAGAGCCTAGAGGCAAGTATCTGAACACTATAGTACCATCTTGGTTGTTGGTCATCCACACAGAATCTGTCTTTTGTTGCTGTTGAATATACTAGGCTAGGTAGCTCTCAAGCTATTGGAGATTCTTCCGTTTCTGCCTCTAATCTTTGAGGATTCATACTCACATCTTCATACTTGCGTGGCAAGCACTTTACCTATTGAAGCACATTCTTGGGCCCTAGGAATATTACTTTTAATTTAATTCTCAAATGAATAGAATTCATGAATTGAAGCACTCACCATCACATGACTTGGTTTCTAACATCTGCTCTGGGCATAGATGTTGATTTTCCAGTTCCTGTATAATCACAGCTCTGGATCGGACCTGTATTCCACCAAAACCAAGATCCTCACCATTCACACAGGTCAGCTGACACAGACTCCATGAAGACCAGTCATTCAAATAACAGTCACCTGTAAGAAACAGGTTGGTAATTTATAGCCCCAGGGAACAGTGTTGCAGATACTTATTTTGATTCCAACAGTGCTAGGCCATGTTTGTAAGTATGCTAATTATACATGACATTTATGATATTTGAATATACAATAAATATCATTTTATATGTACTCAATATGCTATTTGGAGAGATGGGGTGATCTCTGTGTGACTTAATGTTATAAAACGTAAGCTATGACTTGAAGGAGTTTTCCCACCATGGTAATTTCCTTAAAAATGGATAATACTTGTCTAAAACCTAACATGATGTTTGTTACTATTGTCAAAGGAGCTAGTACAACCTAATAATACCTAGAACTTGCCTCTAGATATTCATAAATTTGAGTGAGCTATAAGTTCAAGGTGCAATAATCAGTGATTAAATAATATTTTTTTCTTCCCAGATGCATCTAGCCGAGGCAAGCTGCTGAGAAGTTGACACAGTGGAAATTAGACTGGCAGTTTCTTCTAGTCTACATCTCCAATCAACTGCACCCCCTTTGGAGAAAATGCATAGTATCTGCAAAAGGCCAAGTACCATAAATGCACAGCAAGTTTCCACAGTCTGATTAGGTATCTATGCAATCAACATCTAATCAAGAACAGACCATTCCCAGAACCTCAGAAATCCCCAACCATGTTATTCTTGAAATCATATCCTATATACCATATATACTTTTTTACCTTTGCCATTTTCCACTCAGTCATGTTTGTACGATCTCTTATGCATTTAAATGTTCTAATTTGAAACTCCTGTGACTATTGAAGTAGAAGCTTGTGCTGAACATATGTGTTATATGTGTGATTTTCTTGAGCATATGCATAGGAATAGAATTACATGATGGATCCATGTATCCAATATCTTTTACGATTTTGAGAACAGGCAAGGAGAGAGGGAGAGAAGGGTAGAGTTGGGGATATAAACAGAGGAGGATAGGGAGAAAGAGAGTGAGGGGGACTGAGCATGAGAGGGAGAGAGAGAGAGAAAGAATAGAAGCTGAGTGGGTTCAGAGAGAGGTGGCGGTGGTAGATCTGGGAGCAGTTGTGGGGAAGGGGTAATATGATTAAAATATATTGTATGACATTCCGAAGAAATTAAGAAAATCTTATTTAAAATCTTGCACATTTTGAAAATGCCAAGAAAAAAGCAACTAGGAAAAGAATTTATGAAAATTGTAGGAATGATTGCATCTCTGAGATGTCACATTTTGGGTTACCCAGTGTTTACCAGGAAAACCTGGTATGGGTAAAAATAAAATAGAATAAAGATTAGAATATGAATTAGGAAAAAAACAGTTTTCATCTTTGAAGGGTGTGGCATAAATTTATTACCCCAATGGGCTTAGTGAAATTATACAAGTGTGTTTAGCACTAGGAGTGTTCTGCTCTCAGATTGCTATTACATCTTGACATGGATATTTCAAGATGATGACTAGGTAATGAATGGACCACAGCAGAATAGAATTAGTGGATTTCTCTGCATTCCATGACAATATCAAATAAAGATACATTTAGAGATTAAGCCTACTCATACAAAAGAGAGATGGATGTTTCACTCAGTTTCTTGTCGCTTTGGGAAAGTTATACATTCATATTCTACTCTTTAAAGCTGACTGTGTCAAATTTGTCTAGCTTTCAAGATATACAGCAGAGGGTTGGGGATACAGCTCAGGATATTAGAGACCCCATTCCCTGCAGCAATGCAGTGGTTCCCTGACTCACAGAGTTAGTACAGGTTTTACTGAATAAGATTGTTGATGTTCTTCATTTGGACTATATACATAACCTCTTCTTGACTCTGTTACTAGGATGATGTATCTAAAATATCTAGAATATGAATGGTGTTCTGTTGTTACCTGGACAGGGCTGGGTGCAGGTTTCCTCCAGAACTATCTGCTTATTACCATCTACGATGAGCTCAATATCAGTGCAGAATTCTTCATCCACCGCTTTGCTGAAATCATCAGTTGAGCCGTCAGTCACCACACAAGAAATATTCCGTGTCCTGGTTCCTTCTCCACACTGGGCATCCTGGAATGGAGGGAGAAACAGCTAATTAGAAAAAGAAAAATAATTCATTAGAGAGCTCACGGCTTGTAGTCAGTTTTGCATCACCAATTTGATTTATGAATAGCTAAAGAAGCATTGCAAACCCCTGGGAAGAAGTCTTATAGGGCACAAGCTATAAAGCACACGTGGAACAATTTATTTGCTTCCTAGACAAAGACAGGCAAATAAATTTTCATTAAAATGAATCAGTCTCCAAATGATTTTAAAAGTACAGGACAGGGGGTGCTTGCTATCAAAACTAATTAAAGGACTGGGTATTTGCAAAACCACTAAAATGTTTATGAGGGAACTGATCATCTCTAATTCAAAATAATTCTAGAACCAAGACTTAGCAGATAAAGAATGCTGGCATCCACATAGCTTCCTGAGATTTGATACCTGAACTTGGCATGGAGACCACTGGCCATATTGCCAACAATAGCATGGTTTCACTGGGCAAGGCTTGGACTGTTCCATGAGGGAAGGGCAAGGTCTCCCATCACCTTGAAAGGGCTGGGTCACTGTTCGTCTTCTAAACATTTTTCCTTTAAAAATATAAAATGATACAACTTCAGTGTGTCGTCATAATTGTACAAGTAGATGGATATATTATTGGGAGATAGTATCATATGTATCTTCCTTGAGGGGACCTCAGAGAGTCTTACCTGTGTTTACAAGGAAGAGACCTTTCTGTAGCTCAGTTGATATCATTTAGAGCAACAGAGATATTTTCTTTTGTGTGGCTTGATCACTAGCTTAATGTTAATTGCATTACAAACCAACCTGTGAGTCCGCATGTTTGAGAACATTCTGACCATGGCGACCAATCCGAAAGCTGACAGTTCAAAGGGCATTCCACCATGCAGGAAGTGTTCATTTGCCAGTTCTTCTCCAGGCCAAGCTGAAAGAGCAGAGGTAGATCTGTTTGTATAGGCAGGGAGACAGGACCTTGAGAGCTGTCAGTGGAAAAAGGAATGACAAGAGAGGAAAAAAGTAGAAGAGGAAAGAACAGAAGAGAGCATAGATAGCAGTGGAGACGTGGAGACAAGAGGGAAGAAGAGGAGACTGGAGAAAGGCAGAGGGGATGAGAGAAAAGGAGCAAAGGTAGCTGCCTGGTATAGGGGAAAGTCACCAGAATGACAATGTTCCTAAATATTAAGATTACAGTCAACCAAAAAAAGTAACAGCCAAGGACAGAAAGTGAATTCAGGGGCATACTGATTCTATACAACTAGCTATGTACTATCTAACATTTTCCCAGGGAACTCCTACAGTTGATAAACCCCTTCGGTAATGTGACAGAATACAAGATCAACTCAAAAAAATCAGTAGCCCTCCTATATATAAATGTTAAAAAAGCTGAGAAAGAAATCAGAGAAACCTTAACATTCACAATAGCCACAAATAACATAAAATATCTTGGGGTAACACTAACAAAAGAAGTGAAAGACCTGTTCGACAAGAACTTTAAGTCTTTGAAGAAAGAAATTGATGAAGATATCAGATTATGGAAAGATCTCCCATGTTCTTGGATAGGTAGGATCAACATAATAAAAATAGTAATCCTACCAAAAGCAATCTACAGATACAATGCAATCCCCATAAAAATCCTAACACAATTCTTCACAGATCTTGAAAGAACAATACTCAACTTCATATGGAAAAATGAAAGACCCAGGATAGCCAAAACAACCCTGTACAATAAAGGAGCTTTCAGAGGCATCGCCATCCCCAACATCAAGCTCTATTATAGAGCTACAGTAATAAAGACAGCTTGGTATTGGCATAAAAACAGACAGGTTGGCCAATGTAATTGAATTAAAGATCTGGATATTAATCCACACAGCTATGAACACCTGATTTTTGATAAAGAAGCTAAAATAATACAATAGAAAAAAGAAAACATCTTCAACAAATGGTGCTGTCATAACTGGATGTCAGCATGAAGAAGAATGCAAATAGATCCATACATATCCCCACACACATAACTTTTTCCATAAGTAATGAAAAAATAGAATTAATCTAAAAATTAGTTGCAAGTTCTTAAGTGAAAAATAAAGAAGTATAGATGAAACGGCTTTGAAATATTTCAAAACTCAAAATATCGCCAAAATACAGACCTATAATTTTATCTTCTTGGTGTTATTTATCTTTTATGTAGACACATTAAGCTGAATAACCAAATGGCTTTAAAGACAAACGGCCACTTAAAACCAAAGATAGAATGCACTGAAAAAAAAAAAACATAGACCAATTTGGGAGCTGGAGTGTAGCTCAGTGACAGAGCATAGGGCTATTATCCTGAAGGCTCTGAATTTAGTCTCCTGCACCGAAAATGAATGAATGAATGAATTAATTAATTAAATTAAAGCCTCATAACGATTTTTAAAAACTATATGAGGGTGAAGAGATAAATCTTGGGGTGATATAGTGAATGTAATGTGATATATTAATGATATGCTGTAGTTTCAGGAGGGAGTGTTCAACACAGAATCATCTGTTACTAATTTACTTCATTAGACAGCGTTTGGCTATCCATTAATTACACTTTTAAACTCTGTTTCTTTCTCCTAATATTTATTTCATCTTTTTATTCTGTCTGTCTGTTCCTCTGTTCTTCAATCATCTATTTCTCTGTGTGTGTATCTATCTATCTATCTATCTATCTATCTATCTATCTACCTATCCAAGTATATCATCTGCCCAAATCAACACATCTATTCATGTAAATATGTTTCTAAGTAAATTTTAATAATCTATTTAGGTTTTAAAGAAAAGAAAATGAGACACAATGACTAGGTATCAAATGAGTTAAAAAAAAAAAAGTCAAAACCACCAAAGGGGAAAATGCACTACATAAACACAAGTGAATTTAACCCTAATTTTCCTCTTTGTTGGGCAGTAATGACACATTTCTTTGTGCCTATTAAGGAAGCAGCAAGAGTTACCTACCACTGCGGAATGTAATGCAGGGTTTGCACAGGGGTTGGTAGGTAGGTGGTCTGACCATTGTTTACAAAGATAGCACGGTTTGCAGAGCCAGCTGGATTCCCAGGGATGTATAAAATGATGTGTGTGCTGTTTAATTTCCACAGAGACTAGCTCAGGTTTCCCTAAAGACAGTATTTGCCAGGATGTTTGGATTTGAACCTGCAGTTGTCGCTGCAGACTTCACATTACATGAAGTAATTTAAAATAGTCTTGAATGCTTTGGGCTCACCTTTCACAGAGGTCTCATTTCATGTTCTTGTAAGGAGGGAACTTCGCCTGCACTGGCACTCACCAGCAGCTTGTGTTAGATCACAGACCACTCTCTGGGAAGGTTGTGGTTGTAATAATCTTCACTCACAAAAGTGCTATTTATTGTTGACTATTTTGCTTAAATGGTATTAGTTTAAAAACTCATATTTAACTTACTTTAACTATAACATGTGAATAGGTTGACTCATGGCCAAAGGTTTTAGGTGTAGGCATTTATTAACTAAACAACTTGATGTTTTTAGAGTATCTGAAAGTCTCCCCTATAGACAGAGATGTAAGGAAGTTAAAGTTTTGACAATGGCACTAAGTGGATTCAAGTAGTTCCGCTGATGGCTTTCCCTTCAGAGTTCACACTATTCTGTTTCAGATCTACTGAAGCACTTAGTTAGTCTGAAAATGACCTTGTGGATTGCAGAAGCACAGGGAGCTAAACAACAGGAATATCATTGCCATTGTGGTTTGGAACTCAGACAAAACTCACCGAAAGGTGCAGCTTTATGAAAAGAAATGTCAGTTACATGTTTCTCGACTGTTCATAAGGTTATAGCTAAGAGGGATGACATTACTTTCATTCAACAGTTAACTATAAACCATAGTTTTTCTCAGCCTTAGAGATAACGGTGACAGACTTCATTCCTTTGCTTGAACGTTAGGCTTTCTTCATGACCTAAGTACGTAGATTCTCGCAGCTGAGTAGCAGATATTAATATCGAAATCTGCTCTGAAGCTGCGTGTGATCAATGTTTAGCAACAGAAAGAATAAATGACGGCTCTTGGCAGGTGTCCAAGCTCTGCACCCAATTCACATGAAATTACAAAAGATGATGAGTGCTCTGATTAAGATTTATTGCCTTTATTCACCTTGATTGCTTATTGTTTCCTAAGCATTTCTTCCAGAATGGGCTAATTAGCATACCTTTGAGCTCCAAGCAGAAAAGAATACAGGAAATTATCTGTGGAAAGGAGTAGTGTGGATGCTGTCTCTTTTCAAGAGGGCACTAGACAGTTTGTGAAAACAGCTGTTGGCCGTGCACTGTGTGGCGCACTCGTCACTAGGCTCCATGTGAATTTGAACTGTTAGGGAAGAATTTCCTGCAAAGATTATCACAGCACTCACCCACCTCTTCACAATATTTCAGGTCAACAGACTTGCCATCACTTCGAACACAGTCCAGCATCCTCGTTTTAATGCCATTTCCACAAACCGCCTTTTCACTCAGCTGACATGTGCTCCAGTCTGAACAGAAAACACCCATCAGAACAGGAGGCGATGCACGAGCAGATTTCCGATGAAGCTCTGATGACCTGAATCCCATACCTAATTCACAACTGCTTCCTAAGCCACACAATCCATCATCCCACATGCAGAGCATATGGGTCCCAGCACTGAACATATTAGGAGTCAATGGAATTGCTGCGGTTGCACATAGCAGTGGGGATTATTCTTTAAGGCAGATGTCTACTTGATAATGTTGACAGCTAGCTATTGAGTGATATTGTAAAAACGGCTTTGCTCTATTGATCAACATCATTTCAAAACATTTTTTTAAGAACAGTTGAATTTAAAAATTTACTATTATGTCTCTTTTAGCAAAGTCAGCATAGTTTTAATTGATATAACTACACAGAGTATGCATATATGCTATGTATAGGTAACTACATAGTTATATATACTAGTACTCTATGTAGTTCTAGTTTCATAATGTACTTCATTTATTTCTGTTAGTAGGATTTTTCAAAAAATGCAAACTCATTTATTTTGTAAATAACTTCAGCATATTTATTAAACTCCCTTATTTGTATGTTTTGTGAAAATCATTCTTTCATCTTTCTCTATGCTAGAACTACATAACCTAGACAACTTTGATTTCCTTTGTGTCATCAAAACAAATCATAGAGAAAACTAAAGAGACAGAAGCCAATGTGACTGTTGTTTCTTTTTTCAATTTCTTGAGCTTATTTTATTGTGGAATTCACTTGGGGAAAATTCAAGTTAGCTTTGATGCTGTACCAAACCAAAGGAACAAATGAAATTGTTTTGATGTGTATGCTTTGATAGTATTAAATGAAATTAATGAAACAAATGCAATTTATTACAAGTCTACTTTTTTGAACATTAATTTTTAAGATTACAGACTTTTACATCATGTGAATGTTGTTCATAAATGTCCCTGTACCACAACAATTATTTATGTTGATGTTGTAAGTATCAAACATCTGCTAAAAAAGAAAACATATTTGTACCCTTCCAAAGTGGGAGAAGGTTTTAAGGATTGCCTGGAATATTTACTACCTACTATGAAAATTTAGTCTTTGTGATACTTGCATTCTCTATATTTTGATGTTTACCAAAATATAAATCAGCTAACTATTTCTTCATGTTGTTATTTCTCAGAGTGTAGGCTGTGTCTTCAAATGGCACACAGCATAGCTGGCCTAGGCAGATGAGACTGCCTGGAGCAGCTTTACATGTGACTGTACCCCAGACTCTGTGAAGACAAGATGACAAGCTTACCTGTGACATTGTAGTCATAGTGGTAGCAGTTTTTGTTCAGACTACAGGGCTCCTTCTCCACGGCATCAGGGCAGACTCTTCCTTCATCAGCAGGCTGTCTGATAGGCTCAGCTGACCTTTGCCGGGAACCACTTGGATTGCAAGGCTTACAAAGAACAATATCATTTTTCAGAAAGATAAACTCAGCCTACAAAAGTTAGCATGTTACTGGGGGTGGCAGTAGAGCATTCAATTCATTGACTAATTTGAACAGGTCAGTAAACTTCATTGTTTCAGAGTTTTCATATGTAAAATGTTAAGTGTTGACTAAGAGTCTGATGTCCCATCCCAGCTAGAATATGTTTAAGTCATTACCTCATAGCTATATAAACACATTCATATGGCCATATTTAGCAACAAAGAATGTTAATCCCATATGTTATGATGATTTAAGGTATATGTATAAAAGTGTATATGTGTGTATGCATATTTGCACCCATGTGATGTGTGTTAATTGACATAAACCAATTTAATGGTGACTTCACATAATTCTCTAGGTATTATGACTTTTATTTTCTTAATGCATACATTCATATAATCAATTTAGCATCTATAGAGTGGCTGGCTATTTTCTTCCTGGTGCAGCTTTCTGAAAACATGTGCCTTCTAATAGTAGAAAGGAACAATTTTGGATTTCTTAGGCCTTAAGTAGTTATTGCCTTGTCCTTTGATCTCACTGTATTTTGATCATGTCACTGAAGCAACACTTTCTGTATTTAGAGAATGCAAATTATATAAAGGTCCTGCTACCATCCTCAGTGTTAGCACATTAAAAAAATTTCTGTCTTCTCTTTTCTATATTCTTTGAACACAACAATTCTTTGCACACAGTAAATGCTTTGTGTTTATTTATGAATGTCTTGGATGAAACAAAGTAACTTATAAAGTCCAAAAGGCACACCCATTCAACTAGCTGAATTTTAATCTCATTTCAAAATTTCTTTTGGCAAATGCTCAAGAAAACAAAGCATGTTTCATTAACTCTTTCTTGTTACACATGGTAGAACTCAATATTTTTCTAAGATGGTTACTTATGGATATTTAAAACAGAACCCAGATGAACATAGTTCCTGTTTGGTGGTTCCTATTATTCCTGCTAAGGGATTTAAGAAATAGCCCAAGTTCAACAGCCTCTGTTTTATACAAGCTGAATATTCTTTTAACACAATCTCTGATGTTAAGAATTCCATCATTGTAAATAGAATCAGACACTGTAGTATACAGTTCACTGCAGAATTAAAACAGGAATTCATTTGCAGACTCTCATCCAGGCTGGAGTCTTCACCCTTCTTTCAATACCTGTTCAATTCATATATTGGGTCTGTTTGTTTCTAAATAGTCAATTGGTTTCCAGTTGGCATTTTAACAGTGTTAACACAGAGATCAAAAAGGCAAATCTCCTTGGAAAACACAGACTATAAACTTGCCTGAAGTGGCCCTTTACTGTAATTTGAGCAATTTAATATTAGGTGTATCTTTCCAGCTTTTTTCACATTGTTTTTCGCAGATGTGCAGGGCTAAAATAACTGTGCTGGGTAGTTTTATGTCAACTTGACACAGGCTAGTGTCATCTGAGAGGAGGAAACCCCAATTAAGACAATGCTTCCATAAAAGTGGGATGTAGGCAAGCTGGTAGAGGTTTTTCCTTAATTAATGATTAATATTGGAAGACCCATCACATTGTGGGTGGTGGCACTCTGGGCTTGTACTCCTGGGTGCTACAAGAAAGCAGTATGAGCAAGTAGGAGGGAGCAAGCCACTGACTTCTGTATCAGTTCCTGTTTTCAGGTTCCTGTCCTTCATGAGTGCCTGTCATCACTGCTTTTAATACAGATATATGGAAATGTGAATACAATAAACGCTTTCCTCCCCAAGACACTTTTGGTCATGATGTTTCCTCAGGTGATAGAACACTAACTAAGACACTAACTTTTCTGCACATTGTTTCAAGTGATTTTCTTCCTCTGGTTGGGTCTAAGGCCCTCACTGCTATTGAAATCTAGAGTTCTGTCTGGTGTGAACTCACTTGGCTTCGTAGGAGTCGGAAAGCACAGATTATGTATGACATTCAGGATGTGATAGCTGTTCTTGTTGTCAATTTAACTACATCTGGAATGAACTAAAACTCAAATGACTGGGCACATCTGTGAGGATTTTTTTTCTTAATTATATCATTTGAAGTGGGAAGATACACCTTTAATCCAGATCTTGGAAATGGGAAGATACAGCTTTAATACATATTTTTTGAGGTGGGAAGATCTGCCTTTAGTAGGGGTTACACCTTTTGTTTGCAGCCTATATAAAGGACCTGGAAGAAGGACACTCTGTCTGCTTGCTTACAAGCATGCAAGCTCTTGGTAGCAAGTCCACTCATTCCCTGCATTAGAGCCTGCTTTGGGATTCTGGCACACGCTGAAGACCAGCTGAGACAGACAAGCCTCTTGGACTGAGCAATTCCTGGATTCTTGGACCTCAGTTGATAGACAGCCATTGTTGGATTAGCTGGATCACAGCCTGTAAACCACTCTGATAAATCTCTTTCCTCAAGAGATAAGCTCTGTAACTTGCTCCTGTAGAGAACCCTGACTGATCCACAGGTGAGCTACCTTTACAAGGGAAATATCATTCCCAGTCCCTTCTGTGAGACAGGCACTAACAAGAAGTGGTTCCAAAAAGAAGTGTTCAGGGAGGGTGCAGTTTGGGTACACGATCGTTTTCTTCTCATGATTTTCAGAGATTTTCACAGTAGATTCCACAGATGAAATTCAAATTGTCACACATCCTATTACAAGACAGTTCTATTGTAAAATAGATGCTGTTGCACTCACCGGCTGCTTTTGAACTCAGGGACAGGGATTCTAACAGCAGGCACAGTGAACAGAAACTATGATCGTTTGGTTTCTATTTTAAATGTTCACAAACAATCATCTTCGAATATTTGAGGTCTCACCACGTGCAGCCTTCTTCCTACTTAGTACCTTTCTCAGGATCCTTTACTTCCTGGTGTCATCACGCCTGCTGGAGCACTCCCCGTGTGCAAAAGAGTGTTCCCACTGTTTAAACTAAGCAGATTTGACCAGAAGCAAGGGCTGTCAAGTGGATATCACTAAAGTCACTCCGCTAGAATTTCATTCTTTCCTCACTTTCACTACAGGGGATCCTTATGACCATTGCAGTTTTTAACCTTCTGTGCAATCTGTAAGGCCAGTTGAAGGCACCACAAGCTGGTTTAGGAGTGTAGTTGAAAGGAGCAAAGGAGCAAAAGGTTTGCAAGATGGCAAGTTGTTGTAGAAACAATGCTGAATTTACATTACTTACCCATACAAGGAGGTGGCCAAGAAAGCACACCTTGCTTTTGAAAACAAGACTCATTGCTTTTACAATGAATATTTTAAAAAAGATTTTTGAATTAAATTATTTGTTAGAAAATCTTCAAAAATTAAGCAAACTCCATTTTACCGAAATGCTAATAATCTCACCAAGGCACACTGGGTCCACGGCCCCCACTCAGATATCACACAGTCTTCAGGGCATGGAAGTTTACATTCTCTTGAGCCCAGGGGCATATCTTCTGGGTCGCATAGGTAATCCTCCACATGTTCAGAAGGGCCGTCAGCTGTATTCTGCATGCATCTGAAAGTAAACATGCACACCAGCAAAAAGAACCAGGACAATTAGAATGACAGCCAACACACAGGATGGGTAGTTCTCATTAAGACATTAAGACACCAAACATAGCTAGTACTTCTTTAAGATGAAAAAAAATATGCTGATATGCATGTTCAGAATACTTTAATAAGATAGTTTCAGTGCCCTGGGAAATGGTATCCAGTTTCTTTGCAAGGGAAATGATTTTTTTACACCCATTTGTGAGATGTGTGAGACAGGAACAACTGAAAAATGATCCAAAGAGATTCTGAAAGAAGATACTCTTGACTCATAAGTGATGGGGGCTTAATTACAGTGCAATATCCACACAAAATGCTTCATTAGGTGATTTCCAAGATAAGGCATTGATCAGTTTGTTTTGTCATTTAGAAATTAATTTTAGCTGCCAGCAAGAATACTCTGAACCAAACCTGAAGAACTGATTTCAGTACCTAGAAGTCAGTAGGAAAGAAAAAACTAATCCCTGCAAACTATCCTCTACATAGGCCATGTGACATATTTGTGTGTTTCTGTGTGTGTGAGAGAGAGACATTGAGTGTATGACGTATGTGTCTGTGTGATTGTATGTGTATGTGGTTTTGTGTGTGTGTGTACGTGTATGTGGTTGTGTGACTGTGTGTGTGCTGTGTGAGATGTGTGTTTGTGTGAGACGTGTGTGGCATATGTGTATACAAATAAATGAAGAGAAATAGTTTTAAAAGCCATTAAAAAGACAATTTTAGTTCTCATCCGCTAACTTGAAAAGAAAGCCAGAAACCAGAAGAAAATTCTAATTAGAACGGCACGACTTCTCTAAGTGTGGTTATTTGATCTTATACCAGGATTTATTCTTAATTGTTAGTTTTGCTTTTATTAGAAATAAATTTAAATATTAGTTCATACTATTCCATTATGAACAATCAAGAATTCTTCTTTACTGATCTCTTGAGAAGCTAATTAATGTGGATTCCCTTTACCTTAGTTAATAATCTCTGTGAACTTTCACAGTGGCAGAGAAAACCCTGATCTTTGATCTATAATGTAGAAAAGGTGAACGAAATTAATGGGGCCAGGAAAGAAGGTGCCTATGGGAAGATTAAGAGGAAGATGGGTTCTTAAACCTCCTGAGCCGTGTTTCAGAAGTTGGCTGAGTCATGCCGTACTTATATGCCTGCCATTTCATCTTTGCTCAGAGATTTCTAGTAGGAAGGACAGTGTCTTTAAAAATATGCCCTGAATAATTGTTCATTAGTAATCGCCGATACTAAATTTAAGAAAAATGTTTCTATTAAGTGAGACACCTTGAAAACTTGGAAAACCATCAATAATAGTATTTTGATTGGACATGCAAGCTAAAAAAATCTATAAGTACTGATCTCTGTGATTTTTCAAAAAATTATTCACAAAATTAATTAGCAGATATTTGATGATTTAATTGTTGAAACATTAAATTATAAATTTATTTAAAAGGGCTTTTAGTTATATAGGAAAAGTTTATCTTCAGTGGCATTCTAAAAATGTTCTTTTGACAGTGGTCTGGCAAAGACATTGAAGACAAATCATTTCCACATCCAGAATGTGGAATTGATGCTGAGATCACAGTCTTAGCAGATATTGATGCAGCACACAGGATTAACTTGTAAAATTGCCTATTGATCCAAGTTAAGAAGATATGTCCGATACCCTAATAGGTAACTATACAATACAACTTTATTGGTAAAGACTTTTATCTTTCTTAATTTTGTATTGTAAAAGTAACTCAAAATTCAGAATAAATAATAAACTGCAAATTTACTACTCAGGGATGACTTCTCTTAACAAACTTGATTTGTTTTAAGACAAATTATTATTTTGTAAACACATTTCCATTTCACAAAATAGAAACAAACTCTACCTACCAAGATGTTTGTTTTATTTGGCATGAACATTTTTTTCAATCTAAAATTCAGAATAGATACTTGAATTAAACTTAAGCCCAAATAAAAGTTTTAAGTTTGCTTCTTTCTTAGCCTTGTCCTTTCTATTCTAATGAGCAATAATAGTTGTTTGGGAAGACTGATGTATGTTAGAAACACAGACTGCAGGGCCACTTTGGAGGTGAGAGACTCATTACAGATATGGAAATACAGGACGCATTGCCTGCACGGATGGAACACAATTGCTACAGGAACAGCAACTAAAACGGCCTCTTTTTATTTGTATTGTCACTATGTGCATAAAATTGTAAAAACAAAAATGTCATTGACAGCATGCCCTTTTCTTTGCCTAGCCTCTTTGAGATCATGGCTTGATTCCTCGCACCAGGGGAAGGGAAGAAAAGAAAGATGGAAAAGAAGAAAAAGAGAAGGAAAGGAGTGAGGGAGAGAGATGGCAAGAAGGAAGGAAGCAGGGGAGAAAGGAATTCTTATTAGAAAGGACCACTTCTGTTATCCACTTCCTTATATGCCATTCCATCCTCACTGAGAAAGACTGAACATAGGTAAACACAAACCTGTTCTTTTATAGACTCATCTATCTCGAAATGTCAGTCCACATTTGCAAAACATCCTGACCCTGACTAGCAGACGATAGAGTTTGAACCCTGTGCCACTCAATCAGGGACAAACAGGCACATTATTACACGATCAGAGATCACGATCAATACTAACCTCTCTCTCTATTGCATCAACTTCAACACATAAATTCATCTGAAAAGTTACTTTGTTTCCAAAGTGCTTGGAAACATGAAAAATAGCTATTTACAAAGAAAAAAGAATCATGTACATAACAGTTGGCAGAAAGTGCAATACATATTCTTTTTTTTTTTTTAAATAATTTTTCACTAACAAAACAAGCAACTGACCGAAATTCTTCGCACAAGGGAATGATTTTTAAGTTTGGAGGGTAAAATTTTAATTTGGAAACAGAGTTATAGACAAAAAAAAACTCCAGTTTTACCTTTTCATTTCCTATCTCCTCACATTCCTTCCTGTCTTCATCATTAATCTACCTTTATTTTGGCCCATGGAAATTGTAAATGGGTTTTTGAGACAAACAGATTTTTTTTATCAGAAACAAGGTTATACAAAATTTTCATATGTAAAATTTTTATGGTATTAACATTAATTAAATAAAACCTTTACTAAAATATATTGTGAGACATTATTAAATAATTCTAAAGCTTGTGATAAGTTATAGATAAGAATAAACTAATATCTAGTTCTGGATTTATTATTATTATTTTAGACCCTTTGTGATGAAAAGAATATTCTACATTTCTGTTGTCCAACAGAACACCCACATGTGGCAGTTGAGAATATGAAATTATGAATAGTGTGATTGAAGGTATGCATTCAAAACTTTATCTAGTATAAGGTGGCATTGAAATAGCCACACATGACCAGTAGCTACCCTATCACACATGATAACTGTATTCAAATAAGTGAGAGACAATACTAGCCAGAGGGTGAAGAGAAGGCTTCCTGAAGGAGATGAGAACATTCCAATGCTAGCCAGGATTACAAAAAAGAGCAGGAAGTCAACGCAGGGTACTTGAAAATGTGTGTTTATGACTATATTTGGCTTTTCTGGTAGTGAAGATGGCTTAGTAAGACAAGTGCTTGCCACATAAGCATGAGGATCCGGGTTCAGTTTCCAGCATTCATGTGATAAAATTAGTAGGTCCTGTAGCACACATCTGTAATCCTAGTACTGAGGAGGTAAAGACAGGAGATCCCTGGGTCTCATTGGCACACTCCAGGTTCAGTGAGGGACCATAACTCAAAAATAAGGCAAGGAGTGAATGAGATAAATACCCAGATCTCTGGCCTCCAGACACTCATGAACATATATAAAAAATTACATATGTATAAAAGAAACATATTTGGCTTTTACGAAGTTGCTGAGGTTTAACATCTGCACTTATCAAGCTTGCTTTCAACATGTATTTCCAATGGTCAGCCCTGAGACATACTACATACAAGTAGCATACAGATCTAGCGGGTTGTATTTAGGAATATATATTATCTGTATATATGCATATAATACATGTATGTAACAGTAATTAATGATAAGATAGACCATGAATTTTCAAAAGAGCATGGACCAGTATTGGGATGGTTCTAGAGGAGAAAAGGAAAGGAGATATAATTGTATTATAAACTCAAAAATAAAAATTCAACTTAAAAGTTGTAATGTGGAGCTTTTAAAGTCGGGAACTAGAATACACAAACTGCTGCTTGAAACAGGTAATCTTAATTCTCAGGTACCCAGATTCCCTAAAACCAAAACCAACAAAAGTTTTCAGTGCAGTGGAGAAGAGGGATGCCCCGTGTTATTGCCTGTGAGATGGGAGATGATGGCCATCTTGCCTCTCTGCCATTCTCCTTGGTCTTACCTCACTTTGCGGGTCTGCACACCCTCTCCACAGTTCTCTCGCGTGTTCACAAAGGTCACCTTGCAGACACTCCACGGCTCTGTAACCCATATGTACTGATTGCAGTCACTGTGGCACGGGACGACCTCATACACCTGAAACACACATCTGGTATCTCAGGCAGTGGGATGAGAGTGGAGGTGGGTGGATGGAAGACACCTGTATCATCACAGTCCTTATCCCATCAGCCTAGTTTCGTTCCTTCCCCTTACTGTTCATACTCTCACTTAGTAAGAAAGATCTAGTCTAGTCAAGACGGGGAGGGTGGGCTGAGCTGCATCCCCCGCCTCCTACTACACAGTGGGCATAGATCTAACCCACATTCTGTGCCAGATTCAAAACACAATTTCATAAACTGACATATAACACATTATATTATATTCTTCTGGACTATCTCTTTTGTTAAAACTTTTGTGTCTTTGTTCCTTAACCTAGGGCACTCAGGTGCTAGACACTCAGTGAAAATTTGTCAAATGAATGAATGGATGAATGAATGAAATGAATATTGTAAATATATGTTTTCTAATTAAATGTAATTTAGCCAGCTTTACATATAAATGTGTATAGTTGTAAGAATAATCATTTCTTTTTTGATACAAGAAACTAAAATGATAAATGAAAAGAAATAAACCCATCTTAAAACTAATCCTCAATCACTTGAGGTATGGAAACAAAGTCCTAAATTAATTTTACATGATGCATAGCTACAGATCCAGCTGTCGGCAGTAAGGACCTCACAAAGCACAGCCAACTGCTTGCAATTACTGTCCACAAAGCTCTCAGTTTTGAACACAGTATATTATGTTTGTTTCAAGAATTCTAGAACAATGAAGCTACTGTGCTGTTTTCCAAAGAGAAAAATAAGTAGAAGAAATAAATGGACCATGATCTACTGCAACCAAGAATGCAATATTAAAGAAAAATATTTTAAAAATTTTTAAAGTATGTGAAAATCCAATTTTGTATTCTATTTTACACTCTCTCACACACTATGGTATATAAAGGATTTAGGTAATCTGTCCCAGGAAACAGATTTAAACAGTCCTTTGGAGCTATTTTTTACAATTTAGTGGACTAAAAACCAAAATAAAACAGAAGTACCCCAGAAAAAAGAAAAACATATGCAGTGCTGGAATAAGACTGTAGCTAAACCACAGCCAGCACAGGTCCATTTGGTGTGTTAAATCAGGACCATTGTCACATGGCCCAACATCGCCGCCCAGCACTTCTAGGTAATGGACGAACTGAAATGAAGGAGATCTGCTGCCATTCCTAATCCTTTGATAGATGGATCATTATTCCTCTTTGTTGGGATAAACGCAAATTATTTCATAGTCACACCCTAATAACCATTTTCAGCCCATCGTGCCTTCCTCTCTGCTTCAAGTTAAATAAGGGGTGCCATTTTCTCATCAAAATGGGACGGGTGAAATCCACTCACTCCACCCTACAGGCCCTACAAATAAAGAAATTCTGGTAACTAAGTAAAATAAATAGGGAGTAGGCAGAGGAAAATCTAGTTGAGAAAGTAAGGATGTTTTAAGAACTCGTAAGAATCAGCTGATTGCTTACCTGTGCCTGGAGGGTGTTTGGCAGGAATGAAGAAAATGACAAGAAAAAAGAAAGGTTGAAATGTCAGTTATTTTGATAAGAGCTCACAATCTACATTTCAGTTATAAGGGCTTTAATATAAAACATCATTTTTGTAAAAGATTAGGATGTCTTACTTAGCCTTTAACTTAAAAACTTAACATGACTTAAATTTAAGATGTAGAGACAAGGATTTCACAACTAAGGAAAGGATTCTATGTGCAGGGTGACAAAGGTTCAAAAACTGAGTGGATCTCACAGCCCCTGTCATGGTAAACTGATGTGTGACTGCAAATAACTTAGGAGCCAAGTGATAAGTGGGCTGTTATCTATATATTGACCCACCTTCAAATCCATTTACCCTTTCGTCCACTTTAATCCACCCATTCACTTTTAGTGAAATAAGAACCTTCAGATTTAATCTGAGCTAGGACACAGAATCTGAGTCCACTTTCACGACTACAGACAGGTATATTTACACCGAGGAATTAATTATAGTGAAAATCTCCGTGCTTAATATTTTTAAAACATTAACACACATTTTGTGTATTTTATTTTCGTGTCAATTTTACTAATACTTAAATCCCTGTTTATTTTGGAAAGTAACAGTGAAAGGGTCTTAGACTAGCGATTTGTACGTTCCAGACAACTTGGCTCTGGTCATGTGCCCTTGGAGACAGAAGTGCTCAGGCAAATGTGGAATATTAACATTACTTACTGATTCTTTGGCGCACACACATTGATGTGTTATGTGTATGTGCACATCAGCTTGTTAAAACCATGGGTCATGATTTGTTAATATTTAAATTTGTCACTGGAAAATTCAAGATTTCCTAAGTCATACACAGGCATTCTTCTCGATCATAAATATGTCACTTCTGTGTTCTGTTTCATATTCACACAGTTATAGCTTTGCAGACAAATTTCTGCTTTGGAAATGAACACTAGCAGTGTAGAAATACAAAGTATCCAATGACAAGGCAGTTCACCTGCCAGGAGATGGCGATAGCAGAGTGTATAATTTTGTCTCCATTGTCTAAATTCACCAACTTAGAAAACTTCAGAGTAATTGAGAATACTTTCCGTGGACTTAATTCTTCCATGTCTTCATTTTTATTTACTTAAAATACTTCTTAATGTTTATAATTTACTTAACATAATTATATAATTATAACGAAGATTATAGCAATATAGTTAAAATTTAATAATATCTCTTAATATTTATTTACTTAAAATACTTATTTACTCTTCATGTGGTTTGCTTCTATTGTTAGCAGCAATCTTAGGTTAATCAGAAGGAAACTGCTGATAACAATGTAGTTAGAGTTTCAAATGAGACAGGCTTTGTCCCCGTGAAACAGTTTTACATATTTAAATACTTGGTTCATTTGATCGTGGCTCTAATTCAAAACGCAGCATCTGCACACACTCTGCAAACTCCATTCTGTGCTAATTTACATGCCGATCAACTGTGATAACAATTGTCTGTTCCGTTACACTTAAATTAATCACAATTCCGTCATTAGCCATGAGTCTTTATCTCCAATAGAATACAAATAACAACCATTGGCAGCAGTTAATGAAGTATGCATGCAAGCTCTGATACAGCTTCAATGTTAGAAAAGGCAGAGACTAAATTACTAGTATATATATATATATATATATATATACACACACGCACACACACAAATATATATACATGTATATGAACTTTGAGAAACTTTGTGTATTTCTTGATTTTATTTTGCATGAACTAGGTTAAAATGAATAAATAGAATTTTTCTTTTTCTTTTTTTTTTTTTTAAGTTTTTCGAGGCAGGGTTTCTCTGTAGCTTTGGAGCCTGTCCTGGCACTAGCTCCTGTAGACCAGGCTGGCCTAGAACTCACAGAGATCCGCCTGTCTCTGCCTCCCGAGTGCTGGGATTAAAGGCGTGCGCCACCACCGCCCGGCTAGAATTTTTCTTAATGTTAGAGAATATTCATGTCCTTTCTTTGCTTTATCTTTAGTACTTCGCAACTGAGAACTCTCTCTGGGGGTCTACAGAAACCATAAGAATTATGTGACTTTATCACCACAGTTATGCACAGTTGCATGACAGATTAAATACCTTGCCATTACTCATGAGATAGGTGTCATTTCACCTCTATGGAATTGTATACCTATCTAGACGCTTGCAGGATTCTGAATCCTCAGAGAATTCAGAGATGATATATATAATTCGAGATTTTAGATTTTAGTAAATTACACGTGATTGACTCAGACCTTATAAAAATAGGATAGAACATATTTCTTATTCAGGAGCTGTTATTTAATTTTGTTCATTTTGGTTAAATAATAGATCCTTGGGAATCTCAGAAATATCGTAGTACACTTGGGTTTAGGAAAATACCTGGTTGACATGATCCAGTTTGGGGCAAGGCCTTCCCCCATTATAAGGCTTTTCTCGCAGCCACTTGGACCGGACCTTCACGCCGCTCCCACAGGATTTGCTGCAGCGGGACCAGTTGGACCACTCGCTGAGCTTGCAGTCCGAGGGGCAGGGAATGATGCAGGCTTCTTCTATGTAACCTGAGCAAAGGGTAACAGAACAAGGAACAAGGTGCTGAGTGCCCTTTTCTGACTCTCACGAACCTTTCCAGCTCATTGAGAAGGTCCACTTTTGACTTGACAGCACATGCAAATGCAGAGATGTCTGCATCCTCAGGGACTCAAATTAAATTCTGCAGGGAAATAACACAACTACACCATGACGGTGTTAAAATAACCGCCGAGTAGCTGCCATATGATCTGCTTAGGATTGGTGCCCACCATGTTTCAACATTTCTGACTTTGTGACAGCTCTTGTTTAATTGACAGTAACCTGTCGGCTAACCATCTCACTCTCAATGCTGCCAGAATACTGTTAAAAATCTAACGCAGATTTCTGTGACACCTTATGTGTTAATGCCACACACCGGCAGGGCTCTGAGTCTCCAGCATTCTTCCTCAAGAAAAACCCGTCTGTCTCAATAAACATCCGAAAGAATCTATTTAATTTAGCGCCTTATGCTCCCCCTTCCTTGGAAATCAATTCAGTGGATGGAAACTGAAGGCTGTTATGCCAGCAATGTGTCATATCTCCACAGCACAGTCACTATTAAAGCCACACCTCGTCTTGGGTCCATTTGACTCTCTTGGAATTTTAACTGTATTAGGCATAAACCAGAAAACAAATGCAGAGGGATGATTGACAAGGTCTAGGATCTCAGGGAAAGCGATGGCATATACTCATTCCGTCAGCCCACTAGCTAAATGAATAGTGTATAGATTTGATTTGAAACAGGCTGCTTTCTTTGATTAGTTCTTTACTACCAACTTGACATTATCAAATTATCCCTGTAAGTCTCAAGGCAAATATATGGAAAAGCAAAATTCCTCTGGTCAAAAACCAAATGCCTGTTCTTTTTTCTTCTATAATGTTGCCTTTAGAAAGAAATCAAAAGTCAGTCAGCTTCACCAGTTTAGATCAATGGCACAGACTTGATCATGCAAGTGACTATCATAGTCACAACCTACGAGGAGACAGGTAGATTGGAAACATTTTGAACTAAAAATATATTATAGAAATCAGCTTATGTTTTAAATTTTTGTGTATTTGCTAAATTGTACATTTACCACCATCTAAATTGTAGGTTTCTAGATCATTTTTAAGGTCCTTTTCTGAATGCTGCCCTTCCTATCACCACTCGATAGCTACTTCTCATCTTCGTATGCCAACCATATTTGCTGTTGGACTCTACAAAATTGTCTTTTAATTGATATTTCAAATAAATAAGACCAAATAAATCAAAATCCATTTTTGTTTTTGTTTTGTTTTTTCTTAGTTTAATTTTTCAGCATATAGAGGCCGGAAAAGGCAACCCAATAGGTGGAAAAAAGTCCCAAATGTAGACAATGGATATTATCTAATAAACAACCAACCAACCAAACAAACAAATAAAATAAAATATTCAGATGTTGATGAAATCCACCTTTTTTTTCCCTCTGTGTTTTCTTGTGCTTTGGTTTTATGTCTAGAAAATTGTCTTGGCTGTCCTGGAACTCGCTCTGTACACCAGGCTGGCTTTGAACTCATAGAAATTAGCCTATCTCTGCCTTCTGAGTGCTATGATTAAAGACATCCACAACCACTACCAAGCTCTTAAATTTCTTCTAATGACTCTGCTTGGTGTTTTTATAGTATTCGGGTCTTAAATTAATTTTATTAATTTATTTATATTTTATTTTTATGCTTTAAGTATATCTCTAAGATATAAGTAAGTTATGAATATTGATATCTTCAAATACAGACAAAGAGTTTGTGGCAGAATCTGACTTTTGAAAATGAGCATAAATTCTTGTGTTAACTCACCTCACCTCTATTTTTTAGCCTAAAAAATTTTAGTGAAACAATAATTGATGCATATATAATTTAAGAAGTAATATGCAGAATTTCTTTTATACTTCCTCTGGCTGCTTTAACATAATCAGAATGTACCTCCAGCTGAGATATTGACCCTGACATAGACCACCGAGCTTCCTGAGCTGGCATCAGTTTTGCTTGCACTCATTTGCATGCATAGCAGTTGATGCAAGGGACACTGGTAAGATGCTAGTGACACCCAGAAAGTCTGGAGAAGGAACAGACTCATGGCATATTTTTTAATAGTGTTTCCTACCTTGACTTCTGAGAGTGCAGAATAGTTTTAGTTTTAGAAGCTGCATGTAATTAGAATTATACAGAAGGTGGTTTAGATATTAAGGGTCCCCAGAATGTCCTCATATGTTGAGTATTGGTCCCAGTTTGTGGAATCAACCACTCAGAAGTTGCAACAGGTGGGTTCTAAATTCGTCAATAAATCAGTCATCAATGATTCATAATTTTATGGTATTACTGGGAAATGATGGAAATAGCGGATAAGATCTAGGTGTGCTGTTAATAGGTGTTTTTGACATATTGATCTTTCTTCTACCCTCTTGGGCTGCAATCAGGCAAATACAGATCCATTATAACATTCCTCAAGACAGAAACTGCAAAGTTACCTAGATAGGCACTGTCAACTCTAAAACTGAACCAAAATGAACCCCTCTTTCTTTATTTTTAGGGCTACTCTTTCACAGCAACGAACAGCAGCTAATTAACCTATGTTAGTTAATGTTAGTTAACTATGTTAGTCTATGGTGATTTGTAGCCCTTTTCACTCCGTATTACATTGTGAGATTCTTCCACATTCTGTACACTGTTGGAGATACATTTTATTTTGTGATGTGTTTTGTCTTAAGTTTTCATTGTATTATTTGGTGAGCATTGAAGTAGTTGTAAATATAAAGTTAATATGAATACATCTGCTATGAATATTTCAGAACATGTATTTTGGTAAGTTACGTATATACTTCGGTAATTATATTCCAAGAAGAGAAACATGTGTTGGGGCATTACTTTATATCACTTTATTGTAGAGAAAGTATGAAGCAATTTAAAAATGCAATCACAAATTTGATGTAAAGAGGAAAGAACAGCAAAAATTTCCAAAGGATGAGTGTTCCGATGGACCCGGTAAGGTTATAACAGTCATAGACTGTTACAGACAGGCAGAAGGTGACCATACTATTTTGAATATATTCTTGATTCTGAAAAAGGAATCTAATGTATTCATGACAAAAAGAAAGTCTAACAAAGAACCAATGGGGTACTTCATAGTGCCTTTAAAAGTGTAGTTTTTCTTTTAATAAATTGCAGTGACTGACTTTGTTGACTTTAATTGTAGTTTGAGGTGTGTAAAAAAGCCACCTTGAATGTTTTGGGTGGAAACCTTTTAAAGCCTAGATCCTTTGTTCTGAAAAGATTTCAGGTGTTTGACTTCAGACTGATTTATTGTGTGTCACTGCAGAAGAAGGTATGACAGTTTTACATCTGATTTTTCAATAGAATAATCCAGAAAATATTTCAAAATCCACCTACCTATTAAAATTAAAATGCACAATTTAAGAAATAAGATAAAGGCAAAACAGCAGAAGACTATGTTTTGAATCTTTTGTTTTTATTTCCCAATGTGTAGCCACATTCAATAATTGCCTGTTGTGTTTATCTAGCACTATTAAAATCTTGAATGCTACCAGTGAATTGCCAGATAAGCATTCCCTTGCCTGTTCTGCTAAGATCATTTTTGAGAGCAATTAACATCAAACAATCACAGGAGATGGAACATTTCAAGCATTTTAAGGCTAAATAAATTGCTGGCAACTTAAAGCAATTGATGGTTTCTGAGGAAGGCTAAAGCACAATAAATGACTTCATGTTGAAGATGTTAAAACTTTAGCAATTCAAAACCTATTCTGATACTCAAGAAAATCAAGCTGAGAATTCTGATCATATGTTTTCTGAAGCGTTTATATGTTCTGCATACTGTTTCAGTTAGAAAAAACAAAAAAAAAATCCTAGCAAATTTCAAGGGGCAACCACAGGACATAGTGCCTCTGAGACATATGCAATCACCGCGTTCATTTGATTTATGAAAATGCAGATAAAGAAGCTGTCAACAGCCGGGCAGTGGTGGCGCACGCCTTTAATCCCAGTACTTGGGAGGCAGAGGCAGGCGGATCTCTGTGAATTTGAGACCAGCCTGGTCTACAAGAGCTAGTTCCAGGACAGGCTCCAAAACCACAGAGAAACCTTGTCTCGAAACAAAAAAAAAAAAACAAACAACAACAACAACAACAACAAAAAAATAAAAATAAAAAAATGAAGCTGTCAACAACCTTCACAATTAGTAAATTATGTTCCTGAAAGGTGCGCTGTATATGATTAAATAATTCATTCTGAAAGCACATAATAAGTGTTGGTTTGTGTGATTTACACCTCCGTGAATGAGTAAGTCCAGTGAAGTCTCTGAAACATTAGGATTAGTCTAAAAGAAACTTCAAAAATATCTTCTACCTAATATGCATAAATTATCTGCTTATAACTGCAACCAAGGACAGGGTAATTTTACTAGATATTTATCAGGGACTGGAAAAACCAGAAAACATTACTTTGTAAATTAGGTATTCCAAACTTGTAATTTGATAGCTTACAGAAAACCAAACTATAACATATATTATCTAAACTCCAATATTTAAGTGTTCTGCCCAGGATCATATATTAGAATGAAAGTTGTGAATCAATATTGAGAAATTAATTATCATGGTGAAGTACTCATGACAAATACCATTTTGATTTTATCTGTTTGCTTTAGATAAGTACACATATTTTCTATGTACTTATATACATTCTCAGAAAACTTGTGCATTGTTTGAAAAACTGAAGGATTTCTTATGTTAGCACTGAATAATCCTCTACTTACATCAGAAAGCTTCCATGGGATCAGGGAGGTGGCTCAGCATCAGGGGGTACTTGTCTCTAGTCCTGAACACCTAAGTTTTATTCATGAAGCCCACATGATGAGGAAGATAACTCATTCCTAGAAGCTGTCCTTTGACTTTCATGAATATTGTGGCACATGCTTCCCACCACATACACACAATCAATCAATTAATCAAAAAGCTATTTG